TTGTGGACCCTGGCGTAGGATTGGGATCGTTTGTTACGTCATGCAAAGGGGAAGCCTTCTCCGCTTTGCGAAGTTTTCCTGGCGAGTTTTCATCAACTTCTTCGCCCTCTGGTGGCATATCGCCCCCCGGCGAAGGCGTACGCGCATTCGCTTCGTCGCGGGAAGTTGCCTTCTCTTGTTTATGTGCTTTTCCCGGCACGTTCGTGTCAGCTTGTTCAACCGCTGGTGACAAAGTGTTATCTGATTCATATCGGGAAGTGGACTTGTCTGTTTTACTCATGTTATCGGGGTTGTTCGTCCACAGGAGTAAAACCCCTGAAACAGAAGCACTTGGTGGCAAACCAGAATTAGTGGGTTGTAATTTAGTACGTAATTCGATGTAATTGCATTTACCAGATTTTGTATCTTTCATACATTCATCTACATTACTTGCTCTGTTATCAGTGTCAGGATCAAATTCTGTTTTTATGTTCTGTTCTTTCGATTTAAATTTAAGTTTGCGATTTTTGGTGGCTACAACTTTAGTAGTTGTACATTTTTTGCTTGTAGTACCTTTTGTTTTCTTTGTAGTTGAACATTTAGTTGTTCCCTTTGTAGTTGAACATGTAGTTGTTCCCTTTGTAGTAGAACACGTAGTTGTTCCCTTTGTAGTTGAACATGTAGTTGTTCCCTTTGTAGTTGAACATGTAGTTGTTCCTTTTGTTGTTGAACATGTAGTTGGTCCCTTTGTCGTTGAACATGTAGTTGTTCCCTTTGTAGTTGAACACGAAGTTTTCTTTGCGAGTGCACCTTTAATTTTTGTCTCTTTTCTACCAACTTTATCTGATTCATCTGGTGCTAAATAACCATTATCGCGATCAGATATTCTGGAGGAGTTATAAGTGAGATTTCCAGTTGTTGAACAGGAGGTTACATTTTCTTCAGAAGAAAAATCAGTCGACGACGGACTGCAACTGAAGCTGATGACTATAAGGTTGTCGTCCATTTTAGTTTTATTGTCACTGTTCGATATTCGGTCATTTTCCAAATCACTAAACATTGAGCTTTTACTACTGGATGCGCCAGGTTCATCAAAAGCGCTTAAATTCGTTTTAATGGAACTTGAGTCGCATTCATCTGAACAGCGTTTACAATACGGACATGGACAAGGACATTTATGAACGCGCATGGGTCCTTTTTTAAAACCTTTTGAAGAGTTTTTCGACACAAAGGAAGGAACGTGGAACCACCCTGTGAACTCACTTCCATACGGAACATTTTGTGGATTTCCTGGAGGATCTACTCGGAACGGCCTGATACTTTGGATTTCGCTGCCCTCCAAACTCTGATCAACGATATCCAGCAATGTTGTCTCTTCGGGTTTTTCAATAACACCGTTCTCTGACTGCGTCGAACAGCTGGCTTCCTCTGGCGCTCGGATGTCTCTTGAGGAGGGGAGAGTTTCTTCAAACGAGAAGCCGAGCTCTCGAGCAATTGGTCCGTGGCACTGGTTCACCATTTCCTGCATTTCCCCAAGACCAGTCTCGCCGCCTTCCTGCACCAAAACATCCACCACTTCTCGTGCGAGGGCTAACGTTGAGGCGCGTCGTTCACGTTCACTAGGGCCGCCGTCAATTGGCTGACCCTCGCCGACTTTGTGACGTCGGAACACATCGTCGATAGCGTCCAGCAGTCTCAATCGAAGCGTTCTCTTTCTGCGTCTGAACTCTCTAAAGTGTTCCAGTGGGTCTTTATATTCTTCTATTTGACTAATATCTCTTTTCTGGCGGAAGTGCGGCCTCCTGTTCAGCAACTCTGCCTCCACCGCCGCCACCATTCGCTCGTACAGAGCAGGAGAAATACCGAGATCGACAGCTCTCGCCGAAACCAGCTCGGGTGCAGAGTCCTGTTGAGACGTTGCTGCTTCTCGATCATCTCGAGTCTTGGGTCTGCTCTTCCTGTGGCCAGTCAACCTCTTCCCGCGATGCTTCAGCTGAGAGTGAATATCAGTCGCATCTGCGATTCCTTCCTCAATGAAAGAAGCTTCGGGAGCCATTCTTTCTTCCAATTCTTCGATTCCTTCGAAACCGTATCTCCGTGTTCTCTCCAATGATTCGACATTTTGGTCTTTATACATTCTTCCTTTTTTTGTTGTTCTTTGAAAATCGGGAGTAAATTCATCTTCCGACGAAGAGAATAATGTTTTCAACTTTCCTCTCAAATTCAGTATCTTGTTTTCCAATCTTATTCCATTGGGATGCATTGTACTTTTCATCCGCAAATGTGTATTTGTCAACGGAGTACTGTCACGCTCAGAAGAAACATTTTCACTGTCTTCTTCCTGACTTACATCTTCATCATAAACTGTCACTGATCCGCCTTTATGTTTCGAACTTTTTGTTCTATTTAGACGTGAGTCTGAGTTGGTATGAGTTTTGTACTTTGAATTCGCATTTGGTATTTGTGTTTTGTGAAACATCCTAGCATATTCTGGTCGTTGAACGGAGGGTTCATTGCCTTGTAATATGCTTTCTTTGGAAGCATTTTGTGTACTCTTCTGAGTTTCCGTTTCCTCTCTTCCAGTGACTTGACTTAATAGACTGACGTTTTCTGATGTCGATGCTTTATCGTCGCACGTTGTTGTGGTGCACGTCGTAGTGGACGAACACGTGGAAGAGGTGCACGGCGTCGCAACGGCAGACGTACTGTCTGACGCCGAATCCGACGAACTTCGTTCAGTGCCGGAAGTCGAAAGCACTTGCCTCTCCTCATCGTCTGCATTGAGTTGACCCCCCGAGTAAGCCCCAGAAGCTTCGTTCAAGCAAGGCGGTTGGCGTTCAGCGTTTTTCGCCGCATTACAGGAACAACAGAATCCCTGAGGGAAAACAAAAGTGCAAACTCTCGAATCTGAACATAAATATTAACTTTAAACTGAAATATGATCAGTTAAAACAAGCTTGGCAGCAAATTATTTTTTGCTCATAAACACATATTTTATAATTAGTAAACGATATGACCTATACAACCTATTATCACACAGAAAATAGAGTATTGACTTCGTATAATGTGCCGACCTTCATCACGGACTTGCCAAGAAAGCGGGTGTACTCAACTTCTCGGTGGGAAGGTTTTGAGGTTTGAATACCGCCTTGACACGGATGTTTGGTTCAAACGTGTTGTATGTCTCGACGCGGAGGACTTTGTGTTCTACTGCTCTCAGATCTGGGGGTCCAACGACACGTATGTGTTCTGCTCTGCCTAGAGAAGGGTGAACTGTAAGTGACTGCGATCGAAAAATGGCCTGCGAGTTCAGAGTTCAGTAATGATGTAGGCCTGAGGATGATACGTTTGGTTGGAGGAGTTTTGGAAACATTTTACACTGATGCGGGGAGATATCCACCAAGTAATTATAAAACAGAGTGTAATTAAAGTTTTAGCTAATTGCTAATTATTGTTCTTTTTTGCTACTAGCTCTGTGCCACAGTCTACCTCATTTATCATAAAAAAGAATTTTTACCAAGTTGTATTCGTCTTTACAATATTTATACATTATCTGATTATATTTATTGTTATACAGTAATTTAAACTACGCATAGGAAAAATTAAATATTGATAATTCAAAGCTTTTGGGATTAGTCACAGGCAGAATCAAATAATTGTGTCAGTATTTTAAAATGTTTACAGGGATGCAAATAAAAATACATATTCGAATAAGAAGTACATCGGAATACAACGTGTTGTACAACAAATTGTGAGTAAAAGAGTGCGAATGGGTTTATTTCTTTTCTTAGTAACATTTTTGATGATTTCTTTGTAAATTGTTACTTGGATTATACTTTATTGCCTGAACCTAAATTTGAAGATTCATAAAGGACTCGAATATACTCGTACTTTGCCAGGATTTGAATCAGAACTTTCAAAAATCACTGGTAAGTGAACGATTAACAGAGAAATTGATTATTACTGATTTGAATTTTCTACAACAATTTCAGGTTCAAGATCAAAAACTGACTTTCTGCTACTAAATAAAAAAATGAATAGTAAAGATCTTTTCATTTTTCTTAACTTTAAAGTTAGAAAATGTTTTGAGTCGGACCCAACAAGTAGAAAGAAGCTTTTTCCTAAAGGCAGATTAATAATAATTAGCTAAAATAGTCGTCTGAACGCTAGTTCTCTAAATAAAAGAAAAAAATTGTCCAAAAGGATATTCTGCTTTTGAAGTGATGACATAAGAACTTTGGGTTCGTTTAAATTGCATATTTAAAACTTCTCAGAGAAATAATCTTAATTTTTCTTTCATTTTTTGTGATCATGACCATTGGAACCGCAAAAGGAGATAGGACGTGTCATATACACGTGCATTCGAAAATGCACAAATAAATGTAAAAATATAAACTTAGAAAGACACGATTTTAAGCATTGAAAAGTTCACACTTCAACGTACAACAAACAAAAAAATTAAAAAATTCGAATTTTTCACAGAAAAATATTTTGAGATTGACTAGTACCTTAATGATGAAACTTTAATGATTTTTTTACATTTGTGAACACAATTCTTAAATAACAAATGTAGTATAATGTTCCATTCCCGATAAGAGTACCAGAGATTTCACATGGAAATAGGCGAAGCGGAATGTTTTACTCCGACTTCATCATTAATTGAAGTCGACATATCCAACTTGTGCTGGCAAATTCGTTCACATTTACAATAGTTTCGTATAGTAGTCGTTTCGTGGCTTCCATCTGGCAGACAACTGATGATGATGGCTAAGCCATCGAAAGCTGCTTTTGAATTAAAAAACATTGTTGGCAATGACAACATCTTTAATTATTTTAAAAATGCCAAAGATATCCTACCACAACACCTATATCACATTTACAAAACTTCGATGTTGATAAAATCACAATGCGTGAAATAAAAAAAACTCCACGAAGGAAGTAGCACAGAAGTACGCACTAACTGGTACAATGAATGTAGATCAAGCATGGTCCCCTCAATTACTTGAAAAATGTACAACCTACCTGACTATAAGGAATTTTCTGTCCTTTATAGTATGCAAAACCACATGTCGGCGTGTCTGAAAAATCATCACACCCCGTGAAATTAGCGTTGCATTTGTTTATGACTTCTTCTGTCGCTTCAGCGTTCACCACCTTGGAGAGGGATCATTGGGAGAGCTATAGTTTTTCGTTTTGACTGTAGTATATTATCCATTTACAAAACTACATATAATTGAATATACATGATCAATTTAAAAACTTACATGCAAGAATTTCATATCGTACATCTGCAAAACTTGTTCTTGTTTTATTTTGAAAACCAACGGATGCAGAAGACGGGTTTTTTCTTGAGTAAAACAATTGTAAGCACTATCCAGAGTGATGAGATCTTCTCCTAATCTTGTCTGCACGACAGTGATGAAAGTAATTTTCGTCACAAAAAGTAAGATATTATTAATCAGAAGGAAGTTCGACAACATAATACATTGTTAATCATTACGTCCTATGATTTAATAACTTTTCAAATATAATTCTAATATTAAATTGGTTTTCATAGACTGCATCTATATGGAAACACTAATGAAATATTTGACCCAATGTATCAGTTTTATGGATACTAATGAAGGCTTTTTTGTTATTCAGGCTAGAAATGAAATGAGTTTGTTGTAATAAATACACATTATATCTGTTAAATAAACATATCCATTGTACCTTGCATTACTTAGCGTTAATAGTGCTTTGAATATATTTTGGTGCAACTCGTTGTTTACTTGCCTTTTGTAATAAATATAAATGTAAGCAAATCAAAAAGTTACCCATTTACAATAACACAACAATCCAACAATCACTAAAACAAGGATTCTTTTGGAAATTTTTAGATATGTCATTAATTCCCTCTTTATTTCACTAAATTCCCTATTCTATAGCCTAAAATCCGCTATATTGCTTCACTGGTACAATATGAAACACGATATTCTAGAGCACTTAGATTTAAGAAACTACTTGTAAAGAATGTATCACTTAAACATACCTTTCCCGCATTAGTAAACTTCATAGTGATCACTAACTTCCAACGGCATTTCACAACATTATTCAGTGTAACTTCCCCATCTCTCTCAAATTCAGGAAATGGTATATTTGATGAAAATTTTCTGTTTCCACCCTCCAAAGTACAAGCCTTAGCAGGATCGCAACTAGTCAAATACGCCTTTATTTCTATCTTGGAACAACAACCGGCTTTTTCACTTTCACAATTCTCGCTTCTGAAATTGAACTGTGTTGCCTCCTCACTATTTGATAGGTTAATGAAAATGGCTATAAGTAGCAGGTGTTCAACAAGAGATAAATATCGCATTTCAGCTCTTTGTGACCACTCCACATGTCTCTGCAGATAGCAGGATGGGCGACGACTCCTTTAAACTTGATAACACTATAAAATGGTGAAGAAAATAACATGTTTGCAATATGCAAACGTCATAACATAAAGAAAAGGCCTTCATTGATAAGATGCTGATCCAATCCACATAGATACAGAAATAAACAAGAACAATTTTATGCATTTGTTTCTGTTTGTTGTTCATGTCAAGAGCAAAATATTGTACATAGATATTTTAATTATTCTTTATTTTTACAAATTTAGTACTTTTAATACAATATATCAAACAATCTCTTTACATTACACATTTCAAATTTCAGCAACATTGTTACTACCCAGCTCAAGCTCACAATATGGCACAAATCTTCTATATTACAACGCAAATAAATGTTCACAAGGTAACAAAGCAAACTTTTGCACGTAACAAAGCTATCTAACAACAACTAAATAATGTGGTCAAGTAAAAGGAAACAATTTGATAGTATTCTTAAAGGTAAGAGAATTCAAGCTTTAAGGATTTCAAAGAATCAATACGATAGTTCTTATATGTATGTTTTCAATTAACATTTAAATGTAACTACACATGGTTTAAGTATATCTAACGCAAATAAAATAAATTTAACTGTTCCAATAATAAATGAATTCCTTTATCTTTTTCATCCGCGCTTTACACCTTTAGCGTACAATATACCACGTATCACTATTTCTTTATTGGAGCAAAGATATTCTCAAATAATTTTGGCACTTTTCGAAAGGTTGATTTAGGCCAAAGTCACAGGAGCGTTGCGTTAACGCGTATTAACTAACGCGCGTCGTAGATTAACATTGTATGTTATGCCTAGCGACCAAAGCGCTCGTGTGGCGTTTCGCATAAGATACAGTGATATTCTACGACCCGCCTAACTTGTCGCGCGTCAACGCAACCCTCGTGTGAAGGGGCCCTTATTGCTCGAATGTAGTGAAGTTCGCAAGCGTCTATTGCCAATAATTGAAAAGAATAATTAGACACGTTTACTAAAAAATAAATTAACTTCGAGTAAACAAAATGCGTCAATAAAATTATATTAAACATTCTACGAACGTTTAATATCATTATATTCCGTTGCAAAACTACAACGGAATATTATTTTTTAATTATGGGGACCGTGCAAAAATTGAGAATCAGTCATTATTTAACATATTTGAATATAGATCATTATGTTAATAATATTCATATAAAAATTGGCATTGATGTAATGGCAAGACACGTTTGCAGGAAAGATAAATAGTAGGTCTTCTTTGGGCAAGCTATTTAAATAGGTAACTGGGTGATAAGTACGTAACACGCATTGGTGCATTTGAAACTGCTAAATAAATAGTATGAAACATTTCCACTTGTGATCTGTTCGGTGCATTTAGGTACGAGGTACGTATTTTTAGAGCGAGAATGGAGAGGACGGAAATAGGGGATTTTAGAGGGTCCAGTTCACTTGACAGCAGCACCCTATTACATCTACAAATAAGCTCACTTATATCATCCACACACAGTCCCTTGAGCTGTCTTGAAGCTACAAGCACACGTCGAAAAATACCATTGCTACCACTAGCCTCCCTAGCGCATCTCATTTCAAGCATTGCTCAGAGGACGCCACTTCATTTTGTTTCAGGACTTTTAAATCTCGGTCTACGTAGTTCGAACTCTAAACGCAATCAAAAATTATTTTCCTATCATATAACATACAACAATCATTATATTAACGAGCCAATATTATTTCTAAAATGTTAACATATGTCAACATAAATTGCATACAATATATCTCGGAGATCGAATCGCGTATTTTACAGGAATCTCCTAAAACGGAGATCACCCCAAAGTTAGTGAATTGCATCACGAACTTTCATTTTATGATGTTGGTAATAGTGATAAAAGGTATTGTCGTTCGCTCGTTTAAACAAATTTAACGTTTGTAACAAATTTAACTGTTCCCTTGAGAAAAGTTATTGAAAATGAGTCTTTAACTCGTTGTTTCGGAATCGATAGAATGTTGTAGTAATAACGTCATTACATTAAAATCATTCTGGAAGGTGAACGTCTACTACTGTATCACAATGTTAGTTGTATCAATTCCTATATGAGTTTCACCTTTTGTGAAGAAAGTTATTTACGTACACCAATGTGCACTTCGATTGAACCCGATAAAAATATCTAAATTGACTTTCTATTGACTGTTCGATTGGTAGGTGGTCAAACATTTTAATTATTAACAACTTTCTTCATTGGATCAACAAAAACTTTTTCGAAATATGTTATCACAATCCCTCCACCAAATACCACCGTCACCAAGGAATGGAAACAGTACTATACCAAGGTTGAAGTCCACAAAGAACATCGTTCACCAAATGGCACATTTCTTTTCAGGATTCATTGGAGATCCCACGGGGCATTTGAAAGCCTCAGCAAACGCCGGGGAGTTCATCATCATGCCGTTGATTCTGCAACAAAAGACAGACTGCAAAAAATGCACCAAACAGACATCCTAAGCACATACGCTGAAAGGGAGGAGAGAGTCAATAGAAGTCTTTAGAGACACAATTTATTTAACTTGGTCCTGTTTTCACTCTGCAGACTTTACTCCGTAGCCACTACTGCGTATTCCCCTTACAAGAAGCAGATATGAATGTTGGCCGATAGCTACGAGTGTTCAGAATCGATGAATGATGCAATAGCGCCTAGAGAGGGCTCTCAAAAATCTTGAAATTGTTAAATTTATTATAATTATTATAGTCGGAGGAAAATTGTAGTATTTCAGAGATATCGAGTTTTTCGGAATAATATGAAATTTTACTCCAGCACTGGTTGATACTTTACATAATAATCTTGATGCAACGTTTGCTTTAAAGCTAGTGACTAACTGGTAATATGATTGATATGATTTAAGAATCATTCATTCTAACCATAATTGTGTTATCTCAAAACAATTTACCTCTCAATGCTTAGAAGAAGAGGGAGATCTCAAGACTTAGGGGTCATTTTTGCTGTACGAGGAAATTTCCGGAAAGCACAGCACGAGAACCCGAGTAGATAGTCAAAACTTTCCCAAACAGAAAAGACGCATCATGTCAAAAAATACATCTCAGTAGTTATCCAAGAACACATCAGTATCAATGGTTCAGGGTGGCTGGGTCCGGGGATCACATGAAAAAATTGTTGCTATTCATTTACGTTCCTTTTAATGTAACTAATAAATGAATAAATAACAAATAATAAATAAAAACTCCGATTCCACCCACTATTTCGCCCTTTGGTATTTCTCCTGAGGTAAGAACAAAGTGTTCCATGCACCATTCTTCATTATATTTCTATCTGCGCTTCCTTCGGTGATCTACAGTGATCACCAGCGTCTTGTGCTAAGGCTAAATGTTTGGTACACTAGTACAATTTGTGGCCACCAAGTGGCAGCACCAAAATAAGTAAAATTTATTTTACCGATAACGTCTGAATCAATGGTCCGATTTTCGATCTGTAAACGCCATTTGATGCCTTTTTAAAATAGTATTTACGCTACGATGACCTTTTTCCAAAAATCTAGCATATCCGCGAATTTGGAATTAGTTCTCAAACTTCCCAGAACAATTTAAAAATGTTTTAGCGCGATGGCGGCATGCTTCCTGAATCCAACGCCGTGACAATCATGGAAATTGGACGAATAGGAGCGTCGTAAAGTGAAATTTACGAAAACACCTCGCCCCCCCCACTTCCTCTACTGCGCCGTTGCGTCACCCACCCGCCCTTTGTGGGCCCTCTGTCAGCGCGGTGGCACGACCAGGCTTAAAGCGGTGCTACGTCTAAGATTAATTTTTAGCCCTGCAAATAATTCAGCAATTAAAAAATAACAGTATCCTTTTTTAGTTTTATGGGTACTGGCTTGCGATGACGCAGTTATGCTCGTATTAACAAATAACAAAGTTGACACCCTTATGATCATCTTCTCCTCTACTCTAACGATGGGTTCATGACCTGTTCTGGCTTCTACCAATTTCATTTCGATAACGATCTGCCTCTGTGTCTTCTACCTCGCGTTCTACACATAAACGCTTGCTTTAGAATGCGTGTCTGTCCCATGTATCGAAATCCTTCCTCCCTTCACTCCCTGAAGTCAGAAAGATAGTATTTTGCCATTGATTGCTTGAACAATAAATTTTCATTTTATTTCGCGTCGCGCTTCTGGCCTGTAGTCCTTGGCGAGAGAAACAACTAACATAGTCGAGGCTTGTGATCACATCCGCCTGGGTGGACAAATGAGCATCAGCACGAAGACTTCATTCGTTATCGAATCCCGCCAAGCGATTTTCGCCGCTACCTTATATACCGCTAGTTCACGTGACAGTGCTTCCCGCGCTGGAGAATGGCCGGTCGGCAAACACATTCGTTTTTTTGTACTGGCCGTGTACAACGAATTCCGCTTGCTAGGTGCATTCCGAGAGCTGCGCCCAGACTAACGCCCGCACTCGGGCACTTGAACCGCAACACCTGCACTTGGCCCGAGCTTCCCAACCGTTTGTTCTGTGTACGTACCGCGTCATTATATAACTATTCAATTTTAATTGAACTAAAAATAAAGGAATATTTTGTTTCTCTACGAAAATCTCAATGTGTGTTTGTGTGAGAGAGAGAGTGTGTGTGAGAGTTATTTGCCAGTAATAGATCGAAAATGAAAACTGTAATAATTATTTACGAAATATGTAACGTGATTTCATCCTTTACTTTACGAGATTAAATCGTACAAAGAGAAATATCAATATTGTAGGAAGATAAACCATGGAAATCTACAATATACCGATGACGCAGCTATCGTGGTGCCAACGTGATTATCCCTTCTCCTTTGCGCTCGAGCAAGCAGTATATTTTCTGGAACTTTTGGATTTTTTTCATCTAGATCTACCTCTATTAAACCGGCTATATTATTTTAAAAATATTTAAAATGACCAACTGGCCACATCTCATACTTTTCAAGAAGTGCGTTTAATGTTTTTCCGTAAATGCCATCGCTTTGGTCTTTGTATTTGAAATGTTTAAATAATATCCTTTGTGATTTTGATGAAATTAATAAACAGACTTTGTAAATTATCTTGTCTTTTAGGATCAAAATTATTTTTGTATGAAAGTTCATAAATATCTCGCAATCACGTTTCGGTCGTTCTGGAATGTGCCGCACATTCTTCCAGCATGTTAACTTCAGATGCAAAAAGACGAACAACAGTGAGAACTGTTGGGTTGCTATAAATAATCTAGTGACTACATGATATAGTTACCATAGGGTAAAGTGAATGAGAAACGAAATAAAAGAAAGTTTATAATTCTATCTAAAGATGAAAAGAATTCGTGCACACACACACAGGGAGTGACTGACTGACTGACTGACAGACAGACGGAGTGACTGGCGGACGGACTCACTGATGGACGGACGGACTGACGGATGGGCGGACTGACGGATGGACAGACTGACGGACGGACGGATGGACGAACTGACGGATGGACGCACTGGCAGATAGACGGACGGACGGACAGACTAAACGACTGAAACACTATCGGACGGACAGATTGTCTGACAGACGGACTGACAGACTGACGGACGGACCGCCTGACGGACGGACTGACTGATGGAAAGACGGACTGACGGACGGACAGTCGGCCTGACGGCCGGACGGTTGGCCTGACGGCCGGACGGTTGGCATGACGGCCGGACGGTTCGCCTGACGGACGGACGGACGAACGGACTGACAGACGGACTGACGGACGGACTGACGGACGGACTGACGGACGGACGGACTGACGGACTGACGGACTGACGGACGGACGGACGGACTGACGGACAGACGGACAGACGGACTGACGGACGGACGGACTGACGGACTGACGGACGCACTGACGGACAAATGGACTGACAGAAGGTCGCATGACAGACAGCCGGCTTGATGGACGGTCGGCCTGACGGACGGACGGTCGGCATGACGGAAGGACAGTCGGCCTGACGGAAGGACAGTCGGCCTGACGGAAGGACAGTCGGCCAGCGGATAGTCAGCCTGACGGACGGACGGTTGGCCTGACGGAAGAACGGCTTAACGGACGGACTGACTAACGGACGGACTGACTAACGGACGGACGGACTGACGGACGGACGGACTGACGGACGGACTGACGGACGGACTGACGGACGGACTGACGGACGGACTGACGGACGGACTGACTAACGGACTGACGGACGGACTGACGGACGGACTGACGGACGGACTGACTGACGGACTGACAAAATAGTCAAAATAGTTAAAACAGTCAATATAGACAAAAAGTCACAATAGTCAAAATAGGACCAATCAGTTAGTTGGTTGACTAGCTGGGCCGATCCCCCACTTGATCGACTTTCTGGGTTTTACCACTTGATTGACTTACTGGGTCGATCCCCTACTTTATCGACTTGCTGGGTCGATCCACCACGTGATATACATGCAGGGCCTATCCCTCATTTAAATAACTTGCTGGGTCGATATCCTACTAGATCGATTAGCTGGGTCGATCCCTCACTTGATCGACTTGTTGGGCCGATCCCAAACTTGATCGACTTGCTGGGTCGATCCCCCACTTCATCGACTTTCTGGGTTTTACCACTTGATCGACTTGCTGGGTCGATCCCTCACTTGATGGACTTGCTGGGTCCATACCTTACTTGATCGACTTGCTGGATAGATCCCAAACTTGGTTGACTTGTTGGGTCGATCCCCCACTTCATCGACTTGCTGTGTCGATCCCAAACTTGATCGACTTGCTGGATCGATCCCCCACTTCATCGACTTTCTGGGTTTACCACTTGATAGACTTGCTGGGTCGATCCCCCACTTGATTGACTAGCTGTATCGATCCCTCACTTGATCGACTTGCTAGGTCGACCCTCACTTTATAGACTTGCTGTGTCGATCTCTCACTTTATTGACTTGCTGGGTCGATGTTCCACTTGATCGATTTGCTGAGTCGATCTCCCACTTGCTCGACTTGCTGGGTCGATGTTCCACTTGATCGACTTGTTGATTCGATCAGCCACTTGATCGACTTGCTGTGTCCATACCTCACTTGATCGACTTTCTGGGTCGATCTTTCACGTGATCGACTTGCTGGGCCGATCTCTCACTTGGCCGATTGCTGGGTTGATCTTCCATTTATGGATTATGGTTTGCTTTACAAGTATCATTGTTGCCTTACATTGATCACGGCAGGCTTAACAAGGATTATAGTTGATTCAACAAGGATATTGGTTGGCTTATCAAGAATTTGGTTGGATCAACAAGGATACTGATTGGCTTAACATGGATCATAGTTGGCTCAACTAGGGCCATAGTTAGCTTAACAAGCATCATGGTTGGCTTAACAATGATTGTAGGTGATTGTAGTAATGATGATTGGAGTAACAATGATTTAGGTGGCTCAACAAGGATCATGCTTGGCTCAAAAAGGATATTGGTTGGCTCAAAATGGTTATTGGTTGGCAACAAGGATATTTATTGGCTCAACTAATATATTGGTTGGCTCAAGAAGGATCATGGTTGGCTGAACACTGATTTTGGTTGGCTACCGAACATTTCCATCCGCGACAGACACACATTCTCATCCGCACAAAATACAGACCGACAGACACAGCGCACAAAGACCGACAGTTACAGGCACACAGACCGACAGACACACAGGCCGACAGACACACAGACCGACAGACACACAGAACATTCCCGTCCTTCCACTCCGTGAAACGAGGCAAGTGAGGGAATCGTTCGCTCGACAAGTTATCATCGGCTGCGCTGCGCCGAAGGGGGTTTCCAAGATGGACTTATGACTACCGCGTTCTTGAGCGAGCGAGCGAGCGCAACACATGTGAAGGCCTTGTTCCGGCGAAGCTCGCCAACACTACGTACGCGACAAGGGGGGAGACTTTAATTTTTGTGAGGCGTGCTGCAATTACTGGTAACATTGGGGAAAGGTTTATCTCGTAAACTAAAAGTAAATTATAATTTTGAATTTCTTGGTTCTTTTTAGGCATGTAGCCGATGTTATCTACGGTGTAATTTTTGTTATTATTATTATTATTATTATTATTATTATTATTATTATTATTATTATTATTATTATTATTTATATTCACATTTTTTCAAAAGCACCGAAATCAAGGTGTGACTGTGAGATCGAAGTCACTAAGACAGAAATGCAATACTTTCACAATCTCTGTTGTACAGACTAACAGGTAGATAAAAAGAGATAATACAAAGCTTTTGTGACTGACCAACGTAATTCTAAAAGTTAGTACATGTTTGTGACATGAAAAATGTAAATTATGAAAAATGAGTGGTTGTCTGTGTGACTTCTTGCACTGAAGAGTGGTGTACTTTTATTGAAAGAAATGTTTACAAACACTCAATTCATTGACCATTTGGTATTTGAATTACAGTGCAGTATACTCCTCTATAAATCGAAGTTTTTAGTACCTGAGATAGTACAACCTAAAGACCACTTTCACACTTTGCGGTCTGAACAAATTACTTTTGACGTTGAAAACCTGAAAAGTGTTCACACTAGTGTAACGATTTTTGACGCCTCATCTTTCGCAGGCGGCTCTTGGCAATAAGTTGAGGAAAATTCAATACATAGCACAAAATAAATATATTTCCAAACTTTAATAAACCACAAATTTAAATATTACTGTCATCTGTCGTACATACGAGTGTAAAACTAAAGAATTCGCCGGAAGTATACAGTGTAAGTATTCAGTATATTGACGTGTTTTGCAATTTGCCGCCTATTGCGAGCAGTCGAGGAAATAGTATATCTGCTTTGACAACATTGTATGAGCTTCAATATCATTTTTATTATAATAAAGAATTGTTATCTTGTTACGGAGAAGACATGACTTCAATGATTGAGTGACAATGTTGTTTGCTTCTTGTTCGTAACACAAGTGTATAGCGTTTTCATTTTATTTTTGGTTTTTGTTGACTTAGTTGGACCCCTTGAACGGATGGCTTCTGCTTCGTTAGTACAAGGGACAAACAATACACAGTTTAATCTAGAGAAAAATCATTTGTCTCGTTATATAGAAATGTGACAAAGAAAATAATTCGGGGCGTTCTTCAACCACACGCTGCATAACAGCAATTTTCGGTTTAGTAAACTACACTTGAAGTGTCTGTTCGAGCTGCTGACATCAATTAAAAAAGGATTTGAAGCCGGCGGGCAGGACTTGAGTACTCCCGGTAAGAAAAAGGCTATATTGTGAAGATTACAAAATTACACATTGATGACATCCCTTTATTGCTTTATTTTGTTTTCCATATTCTCGTATGATGTTTTAATTCTTGGGCCGATGGATACTTGGCGTTAAATATTTGGGAACAGCCTTAGTAGGTTGCAGATTAGGCGGGGGGGGGGGGCGGGAAGGCAGCTTTCAAAGAACATTGAACGCATTCCTCAGCCTCGGCATCGAGTCTTTTTTTTATAAAAAAAAACTTTTTTGAAACATAGAAAATGGAAGGGAAAAACACGCTCAAATGCAAGGCAAACTCTAGGAGTTATCCAATTGCATTATTACCCTTTATTCATTTACGTAAGTCTGTATGAAAATGACTCACCAGGAATTATTTATTCACCTCAAAATTATACAAATATAACAATTATTTTAATATCAAAAGCTAACTTACCAAGTAAGGCTGGATTAAGTCATGATTTCGATACATCTTATTTCGATGCATGTCTGGGCGTTTGAGTCAGGATACAGCTCGACAGACGCTATTTTTACCACTTTTTTAAAAATTTTGAAGTCGTAGGCTTCCTCAACCAAGAGTCAGATGTGCCATGATCTGGCTGTCCGGGTGACGCCGCGTCAAAGATTGTTGCGACATTTCGACCATATTCTCTGGTCTTACCATGTTCCATACCATCAGATGTTATGGGCAACACCAGCTCTGAGGAAGACCACGAACAAAATGGTCGAAACGTCGGCAAAACAGCCTTCGACGCAACGCGTCACCCGGCACAGCAAGATAATGCATTTTTTTTAAATTGTCCGAAAAGTACAAAAATTTTTCAAATAGCGTTCCGGTTGTTTTACTCTGGGAAAAGAGATTCGCCAGATGAAACTCTTTTAAAGCCAGATAAACGTCTGTTTTGAGATCAAAAATCGAGTTGTAGGATAAAAGAGCTCGTGCGTATACTCCCGCTCATTTTTTTACGGTATTTGAACAACGGAAGATCTTAGACCAAGGTGAAGTTTAACAGAAGACTTAAGAAGTAAAATATATCTCTAAAATAATATGTGAGGAGAATCGAAAAAGTGCTGATATTTACACAATTAGTTAACTTTTTTTAAAAAAATAGTTTAAAAATCAAAATCAATATTTTGGGAGTAATGCATCAAAAATTTTAAATGGTATTCGAAGAAGACGGAAAACATGGTGAAAAAGATAGTTATGTACTACAGACCGTTTACCTCAAGTCTGTAATAGGTAGTATATGAATCGCTAGTTGATAATCCGTGGAAAAATAGATTGACGGTGCAAAGTGACGAAGCATAAACGAGTGTGTGGCTTGCGTGTCCCGCAAAGTACCGCCTCCTCCGTCCGTCCGACGGGGCTGCGCGCACGACGCAGGGCCTGGGCCGTGCCACCGCGCTGACAGAGGGCCCACAACGGGCGGGTGGGTGACGCAACGGCGCAGATGGGGAAGGGGGGAGAGGTGTTTTCGTAAATTTCACTTTACGACGCTATTTGTCCGATTTGAATGATTGTCACGGCGTTGGAGTCAGGAAGCATGTCGCCATCGCGCTATAAGGCCACATTTTTAAATTTGTACTCGAAAGTTTAAGAACTAATTTCAAATTCGCATTTTTGCTAGATTTTCGGAAAAAGGTCATCGTAGCGTAAATTCTATTTTAAAAAGGCGTCAAATGTCGTTTACAAATCGAATATCGGACCATTGGTTCAGACGTTATCAGTACACTAAATTCCCCTGTGATAGTGCTGCGATCTATTGAATTTTCCTTCACGTATTTTTCGGTGCATTTAGCCTTAAGCAGAACTTCCGTATGTGCTGTATAATCTTCACCTCTTTTGGGCGGTCATTCGCTACGTCTGCTGGCCTCCTAGGTTCCGACGCTTTGAGTTATATTTATGTAATTTGTACATAAAGTCTTCCTTTCACAGATGATGGCGCATGAAAAGAAAATGAAGGTTTTTTTCTAATTATATGCATGTGAGTGAATATTGTAAGAATTGATTAATTGTTTTAGTGATTCGGGCACGTCAAGAAAATAAAAATTTTTAGTTCCGTAAATGCAGACCAAGTTTTTTCTCCAGAGGAGGAGGTGATCTTTCCGTCGCAGTATGGCGTGATCCAGCGCTGACCTACTGTTGGTTAGCGGGTTTTTCCTCAACCAGGCATCTCCCACCAGCGGTGCTCGGCCCCAGAAGGACAAACTCTAAGCTCCCGACATGTGTAGCGCGTGTTAGTGTAAGTGTAAGGGGAGAGGATAGGACAAGGAAGAGGGAGGAAAGGTCTCGCGCGGTCCGTGGCCCGTTTGTTAGGGCACTGCTCCGGCCTTCGTTTGGTGTTGATCGGACCGATCAGAGCAGCCGGTCGCTAGAATTATCCTCCAGACAGAGACTGAATTCGACATATCTGTCAAACTAATGTCCAAAATCCTGCCACTGTAGGGATACTACTAGGAACTCCCGGTCAAGGGGTTTGCAGTGACATCAGTTGATGCTCTAAGCCATCTCTCTCGGTCATATTGTAAGAAGGATTTCGCGACGCACATTCCATGCAGGTTACCCTAAAGAATTATCGTGTTCTGGCTACTGTATAATCCCACCTCATTTAATTCATTCACACCCTAGTCCAGACACAAGTATTCACGTCAAGTCTTCGACAGTGGATTTCAATTCAGTTATACCAGATATTTTAGAATCTCTCCTTGAAAGGATGTGTGGTGTCTAACTACGCAACTACCAAGGCTGACAATTAACTAACAAGAATCTTCCAAGTACATCTCCCTTTCATTTCAAAATAAATTATGTAGACGAAACAGATTTTAAGGACCGCTGGTGTAACATACTATGTCTTGAAGTCTATATTAAACAAGGAGGAAATTGAGCTGAAGGGACGGGAATAAAAAATGGCTGATATTTAAATGTCTGAAACTAACAAAACTATTTTTAATTAGGCATGAAACGTGTATTTCAGAGAACATGTTCGTGCATTACCTTTCTGGATACGGAGTGTGGTGATCAACTTCCACCAGCACAATGTACTCCTCTGGCGTCAGAGACGAACAGTAAGACTGAAACACGAAGGCGAAGAGTTTGAAAGGCACAAAACGGCAAACAATACACACAGCCTTCATTAAATTCGACTAACAGGGTGCAAAATGTTAAGCAATTTTTATTTTGTTACTTTAAGAAACATGACATATGGAAAGAATATATCAAATTTAGTATCGCTGTTTTCTACGATAGAACTTGGATTTTAGTCTGTTAGCTAGCAGTAGAGTACACGTTATGTACTGTACGAAGTCATCCAAATGTTTTGTACTTTATATTTGTTATTACTACAGTATAAAATTACCTAAATACTCGAAATACAACACAATACATGCAACGTAAAAACTGCAAAATATGGCGTAAGGAAAAAGGGAGCTTCAGTTTTATAGCTGAATGTAGTCTATGTGCACAGTGTGCATGCTATGTACCGTCAATTTAGATATACGAGCACTAATTGAGTACTAATATCATTATTCAATAAAATTTAGAAAGTTAAATTCAATCAAGAGTAGAAGATGATTAAGTGGAATTTTTGTCTCAATATTTGGATTATATGATAGTTGTCAATAAATTTCGTATTTTAAATTTTTTATGTGCATTTGTGTTTGCATGTGCCAGTACGCGAATCATGTGTGCGTGTGTGTGTGTGTGTGTGTGTGTGTGTGTGTGTGTGTGTGTGCGGACACGAAGGAAATTGTCTCCGGAAAAGGTGCGCATTCGCAGAGCCTGTAGAGAGGATAGTGCCATTCCTTGGGGAGCGATTTGTGTTTGGTTGCCCTGGGTCAAAGCGAAAGCACCACGGGAAAAGTTTGTGTCGAAAGGGAGTATGTTCACCTCACAATGCCGGTATCTAACTCCGTAATGGGAACGTACAAAAGAGCATCGTAGTAAGCTGATAAAAAGGAAGGTAGTACTTCCTGACAGAAAGTTGCAGTAGGAATTGCTGAAGAGCTAAACATTTTATGAAGAGGGCACAAAGGTGCTGGAAAATGAGTAATGATTTTAGCGTTACACATCAGTATTCATTTTAATAAAGCATAGTGACAGAACAACATACAGTATAGTAAAGTGTAGTAATGCAGGGTGACCACAAGCAACCGGCGAGTTCGTGATTCTTGGCGTGCCAGAGGGTGTGTGTTTAGACACGTAAGCAAGGAAGTGCTGGTGTGCATGTAGAGCTGATGTATTAGTTACCAACGGGACGGAAATGGTATTCTTGTGCATGCATGTGCATGACTGCATGTTATTATGTGCATGCAAGTGTGTTGTGTGCGCGTGTGTTCTCGCAGGGGAGGGCGTGGCTACCTGAGCGGCGGCGACGAAGAAGAGCTGGCGCGTGCTGAGGTAATGTGTGCTGATGTGTGCTTGTGTGCGCGTGTGTTCTCGCAGGGGAGGGCGTGGCTACTTGAGCGGCGGCGACGAAGAAGAGCTGGCGCGTGCTGAGGTTGATGTGTGCTGATGTGTGCTTGTGTGTGCGTGTGTGCTAGCAGGGGAGGGCGTGGCTACCTGAGCGGCGGCGACGAAGAAAAGCTGGCGCGTGCTGAGGTTGATGTGCGGGAGGCGCGCGTCGGGGCCGTCTGGCGTCGCCGCCAGCGCCGCCCGCCACGCAGAGTGCGCCACCTGCAGCGCCGCGATGTCCGCCATGTTCTCGTTGCTCGTCGCGTTCCAGTCGAACTGCGCACACACACAACATCACACATTTCAGCCAATACTCTTTAAATTAATTTATGTTTACAGGCCTCGCAACTGCTAGGTTTTTCGGTCCAGTGAGTGTTTTACTAGATGTGTCAGTGTTTCTCGCCTTCGGTGGTAGAATTCCGCGCCGTTCCACACGTCGTTTTGCATGAAATTTACCGCTCCTGGTATCCCCCAGCCGTGAATATGTGAGCTCGCGAGTGGTCCCCCGAAATGTGTGGAAATGTAGTGCACGTAGTAGGTGTATGTGGGGAAGTGTGTGTGGGGTATTATGGGGGTAGGTAGCGCACGGAAGAAGAAAGAATGATCGCGTGCGGGGTACTATTCCGAAATTGATCCGCTAATGTTTCGGTATTGATTTAATTCGTCACGGAAAACTACCGTTGTGAGCAGGAGACAATTACAGGTCTCTTGAAGACAGCGATTGAAATCGACCCTGCGATGTAGCTAGTGTCGTAAATCCTCCAACGTTTCGACCCGAACCCCAGGACCTCCCGGTAAGAGATTCAGTCAATCTGCTCTCTGAAGCAGACGCTGAAATTGTAAGGCAGACGCCGTACTTGTGATATAGCAATTCCGGTGGTACACGCAGTGCCTTTTTAATTTAAATATAATCACTTACTTGTAATTAAAAGAATAATCCTGAACCTGTTTTCAACATTTGTCTTAAAATGTTGTGCTACTTCACGGAGGCCCTTATATTGTTTTTTTAATCGCAATAATATCCAAAGAGTGTTCAAATTTGAAACATATTGTAATTGATTTTTATTGAACGCAGCATGCAATGCAGGTTATGCATGGTTATGCAATGCATGGTTATGCAGCACTTCATAACCTTGATCATTTTCAATGACTAATATTTCAAATTGATGGTATTCTCTCATTCTTTTAGTCTATTGAAGAGGAGATATACATTTTACAACAATTTGTACGGAAGCAACGAGTCTCGAAAAGCTTTATACTCAACACTCTGGCGATGGAGTTGTATAAAACCTCGAACGTTTCGTACAGAAATACTAATGAACGTATAAAAACCTAAAAGTGCACGCTCGCGTAGACTTTCACGAAGGGATCATCCTTCCCCAACTATTCGCCCCGTCACTCCTTCTTTGTTCCAGATCAAAGGTATTGAAAATAGCAGCGGCAACTGGCTCACAGATTGGGCTGACACGTAATCGAGACGCATCAACGTAACCCTCAAAGAAGCTCTGAGAAATGAGTTGTGCGTGATAGGGCCCTTCCATTTCTGTTTATGTTCTGTCAACTTGCCCTTGCTATATCTCATATTTTTAAAGGTTTCAGTATTTTGTGAACACGCACGAATAACTGAATCCCTTCGTGATATAAAATTGCCAAATTAGTAGAATATAAAATATTTCTTATTATTAGGTAAAACTATTTATTTAAGGTATAAAATTTAGACTAAAGAAAACAGAATAATGTTCCTAATGAACTAGTGATTAGCTAATCGCATTGTAGATTACAGGATCCTTAAACAAATGAATTGACGCGAAGTTGCAATGGAGAAATGCTAGTAATCGTAGTTGCATTCTGTTCACATTCGCCGACTGTTTTCTGAAGTTGTAACCAGCCGCTGACAACGCTGAACCAATCAGAAAACGTGCTGGCACAACCAATTATTTTGGAAATGGAAAAAGGAAAAGCAGGAGATTGGACTTGATGGCATTTGGTTCGTGAGGATAAGCTGGTAGATGTTTAGTGATATCGTGTTCATAGAATTTTTAAGAATACAGTAAACAAATGAGTTCATAACCACTAGGAATAATACTTCATTTGTTGAAAGAGTAATTTTGGAACGTGTGTGTTGGTAGGGGAAATGAAATCGTCGTGAAGACGCAGTGGTCACGAGGTGAAAAAAGGAGTACGTAATTGACTGAAATTAGTAGAATGTAGGGAAAAAAAGGTTTTATGACGGACAAAGTAATCTATTACATCTTTAAAAGTCGACCATTCATAAAATGTTGACGATAAGTCATGTTTATCCTTAGTGAGTATGAGTGAATATGTTTATTAGATACGTTTGTGTAATAATACGAATGATTAAATATTGGATTAGTTTTTAACAATGTTATTATTATTATTATTATTATTATTATTATTATTATTATTATTATTATTATTATTATTAATATTTTAATTATTTACGTATAGACCATTTATGACTAAGCGACACGTTATTTTCCGAAGATCAGAATGAACCTCTATAATTATGGAGATCAGCTTTTCAACTGTATCCCTTGTTAAGACAAGATTGTTACGCAAAATAAATGAGATAACCAGAAAAGTAAATCCTCTGCTCAATTTTTGTGGTTGTATTAGGCTTTAGCGTAGCAGAACCATAAGAAAAAGCTAGAGTTAGCCATTAAACAAAATTACGTTGACCAGTGTTATTTATGCATATTGTCACTCCACCCTCATCAGGAAATGGCATCACAGCCTGGCAGCCATTAACTGTGGACTTGTAATAAGCAGACAGCAGTATATTATGCGATTTACTTGCGTTCTCTTCCTGCGAGATACCTGCACTACATCAACAAGTTGAATGAACTGGGATACGACAATGGAAAGCGGTAGTTAAATTTGCCCGTCTGATAATAATCTAAACCGGGGTTGCGGCATGAAAAGATAGCTCGCTAACCGCCAGCCACGGGGGTGTATCATCTCTATCTACGTCATTGTAGGTGTTTGTAGAATTTTACGACGTTTGAGAGCGCCAGGGCGCTCAAAGGCGGGCTCAGAAAAAGTGGTGCAGTTCGCCCGGATGAATCTTCATCCGGATGCGCTGGGAGGGGACGGGAGAGGGAAGAAAGGAAGGTTGGGAAGGGAGAGGGGTGGGGATCCGCTGCTCACCTGCACGACGACGGTGGAGCCGAGGGAGGCATTTCTTCACCCTGCACAAGCCCTAGCAGTGTGATTGCTAGCCCCCTGGAGGGGCTGGGAGGAGGAGGGGACGGGAGAGGGGAGGGGGGAGAGGGGAGAGGAACGGAGGGCGCTGCGCTGCTCACCTGCACGTCGACGGAGGAGCCGAGGAAGGCCACCTGGCGCGTGAAGGCGGCCGCGTACTGCCGCGCCACGCAGTCCAGCCGCGCCTCGAGGCGCAGGCGCGCGGGCGCCGAGAACCAGTCGGCGGGCGCGCCGTCGGCGCCGTGCGCGATGCCGGCCAGGTCGAAGGCGTGCACCATCTCGTGCGCCAGCAGCAGCCCCACCGTCGCGTGCGGCACGTAGCGCGGCACGTCCGCGCGGAACGTGGGCTGCGTCAGCACCGCCAGCGGGATCACTGCGCACGCGCAAGAGCACTCGCACCCGCCGATGCCATTCCCTCCTTTTTTAAGGGCGCTTTTTCAAAATATTGCTCGCGTACCGAACACTCCCATTGTTTTAACAGTGGAGGGAACTATAAAAGACCACGTGAGGTCAATCAAAACATCCTTCACCGCGGCTAGATTCGAACCCGCGGCCCTTCGAGCCGAGGCAGGTACGACTATTCAAGTTGGTTTATCCGCTGCACACGAAAGCTTCCGCGACTCGATTCCACAAATCAGCAACTGCCCCGAGGAATCATGTTAGGCGATTCGTCGGCCTCTCAGCGAACGACGCGGCGTCTCCTGGATAGCCGAGAATTTATGGCTTATTCGTTGATCGACTAAGTCTAAGTGCTCAGTTCATTAGTCTCGTCAGTGTAGTGAATGTGTTGCCTTGCTTGCGGGGTTCACTGCAACTGGGCAACCCCCCGCCGGGGCAAGTCATAAACTCCAGCCTGATCTCTAGGCATGTGTGGCGGTGTAGTGAATTGAGAGTGAAAGTATGAGTAAGTAAAAGTGAGGATTAGGCAACGAATGAGAAGGAAGTAATAGAAAAGTAACGTTCTCCGACCTCCGTGGCCTTTTTGTTAGGATGATCTCAATCACCTAGTGTTAATCGGATTAACCACGGAAAGCTGTAGTTATGTAGCTACCTGCCGCGAGCTATTTCCTCCAAACAGCAGCTGAATTCGACCTCGCTCTTTAGATAGTGTGGCCTAGACTTCAATTCGACTATATATTTAAAAACTAAACGCTTGAAAAAAAATGAAGCCCAAAACCCAAAATTTGGGCAAAAAATGAAAAAAAACTCAATTTCGTAGAATCTATCTGAAATCACGTGTACAAGTACAACTCACGACGAGAAATTCAATGGTGAAAACTAGATTTCAATCCGAAATTTAGTTTCGAAATAAAACGCTTGAAAACAAATGAAACCCTCAACGCGTCATTTATGCAAAAAATGCCAACAAATTCAATTTCGTAGAATCGACCTGAAATGACGTATAAAAGTACACCTCACGACGAGAAAAACAACGGTGTAAACAAGACTTCAATCCGACTATTAGTTTCGAAATTAAACGCTTAAAAACAAATGAAGCCCAAAACCCTAAAATCGGGCAAAAAATGGAAAAAAAACTCAATTACGTAGAATCGATCTAAAATCACGTATTCAAGTACAACACACAACGAGAAATTCAATGGTGCAAACGAGTCTTCAATCCGACATTTAATTTCGAAATTAAACGCTTGAAAACAAATGAAGCCCAAAACCCGACATTTGGGCAGAAAATGAAAAAAAAAAAAACTCAATTTCGTATATCGATCTGAAATCATGTATACAAGTAACACTAACGACGAGAAATTCAACGGTTGAATATAGAATTCAATCCGACTATTAATTTTGAAATTAAACGCTTGAAAACAAATAAAGCCCACAACCCAAAAATCGGCCAAAAATGGAAAAAAACTCATTTTCGTAGAATCGATCTGAAATCACGTATACAAGTAAAACTCAGGACGAGAATTTCAATGGTACCAACTAGACTACAAACCGACTATTAGTTTCCAAATTAATCGATTGAATACAAATGAAGCCCAAACCTGAAATGCGGCCAAAAAATGGAAAAAACTCAATTTCGTAGAATCCATCTGAAAACACGTATACTAGTACATGTCACGATCAGAAATTCAATGGTGCAAACTTGACTTCAATCCAACTATTAGTTTTGAAATTACCGCTTTAAAACAAACGATGCCCAAAACCCGAAATTTGGGCAGAAAATGAAAAAAAAACTGAATTTCGTAGAATCGATCTAAAATCACGTATACAAGTACAACTCACGAAGAGAAATTCAATGTCAACTAGAATTCAATCCGACTATTAGTATTGAAATTAAACGCTTGAAAACAAACGAAGCCCCAAACCAAAAATCGGCCAAAAATTGGAAAAAAAACTCAATTTCGTAGAATCGATCTTAAATCACGTATACGAATACAACTCACGGCGAGAAATTCAATGGTGCAAACTAAACTTTAATCTGACTACTACTTTCAAAAATGCTTTAATTTGCTAGAATACAAATGAAGCTCAAAACCCGGAAATCGGGCAAAAAATGGAAAAAAAACTCAATTTCGTAGAATCAATCTGAAATCACGTATACAAGTACAACTAGCGACGAGAAATGCAATTTTGTAAACGAGTCTTTAATCCGACTATTAGTTTTGAAATTAAACGCTTGAATATAAATGAAGCCCAAACCCCGAAAATCGGGCAAAAAATGGAAAAAAAACTCAATTTCGGAGAATCGATCTGAAATCACGTATACAAGTACAACTCACGACGAGAAATTCAATGGTGCCAAATAGACTTCAATCCGACATTTAATTTCGAAATTAAACGCTTGAAAACAAATGAAGCCCAAAACCCAAAAATCGGCAAAAAAATTGATAAAAACCCAATTTCGTAGATCGATTTGAAATTATGTATACAAGTACAACACACGACGAGAAATTCAACGGTGCAAACTAGAATTCAATCCGACTAATACTTTTCAAATTAAACGCTTGAATACGAATGAAGGCAAAAACCCAAAAATCGGGCAAAGAATGGAAAAAAAATAATTTCGTAGAATCGATTTGAAATCACGTATACAAGTACAACTCACGACGAGAAATTCAATGGTGCAAACTGGACTTTAATGCGACTATTTGTTTCGAAAAATAACGCTTGAAAATAAATGAAGCCCAAAACCCAAAAAACGGCCAAAAAATGGAAAAAAACTAATTTCGGAGAATCGATCTGAAATCACTTATACCAGTACAACTCACGACGAGAAATTCAACGGTGCAAACAAGAAATCAATCCGACTATGAGTTTGGAAATTAAACGCTTGAAAACATATGAAGCCCAAAACCCGAAAATCGGGCAAAAAATGGAAAAAACTTCAATTTTGGTAGAATCTAGCTGAAATCACTATAACAGTAACAACTCACGACGAAGAAATTCAATCTGCAAAACTGGACTTCAATGCGACTTATTTTGTTTCGAATTTAACGCTTTGAAAATAAATGAGAAGCCAATAACCCAAAAACCAGCGGGCAAAGAATGGGAAAAAAACTCATTCTCGGAGAATCGATCTGCAAATCACGGTATACCAAGTACAACTCACGACGAGAAAATCAACGGTAGCAACTAGCTTCAATCCACCTATTAGGTTTCCAAATTAAACTTTTGATCAAATTAAGCCAACACCTGAAATACGGCTAAAAATATGGAAAAACTCAATTTCGTGAGAATCGATCTGAAATCCACGTGGTACAAGTACATATGCGAGCACAGAAAATTCAATGGTGCAAACTAGACTTCAATGCGACGATTTGTTGAAATTTAACGCTTGAAAATAAATGAAGCCCAAAACCCAAAAAACGGCCAAAAAATGGAAAAAAAACAATTTCGGAGAATCGATATGAAATCACGTATACAAGTACAACTCACGACGAGAAATTTAATGGTGCAAACTGGACTTCAATGCGACTATTAGTTTCGAAATTTAACGCTTGAAAGCAAATGAAGCCCAAAATCCAATAAACGGCCAAAAAATGAAAAAAAAACTCAATTTCGGAGAATCGATCTGAAATCACGTATACAAAAACAACTCACGACGAGAAATTCAATGGTGCCAAATAGACTTCAATCCGACTATTAGTTACGAAATTAAACGCTTGAAAACAAATGAAGCCCAAAACCCAAAAATCGGCGAAAAAATTGAAAAAAACTCAATTTCGTAGATCGATCTGAAATTATGTATACAAGTACAACTTACGACGAGAAATTCAATGGTGCAAACTAGACTTCCAACCGACTATTAGTTTCGAAATTAAACGCTATTAAACCCGAAATTAAACCCGAAAACTATAGCAAAAACTATAGCAAAAAATGGAAAAAAAACTTAATTTAGTGGAATCGATCTGAAATCACGTATACAAGTACATATTTTGACGAGAAATTCAATGGTGCAAACCAGACGTAATATCACTATTAGTTTCGAAATTAAACGCTTGAATACAAATGAAGCCCAAAACCCGAAATTTTGGCAAAAAGTGGGAAAAAAACTTAATTTCGTAATGTATTTTTTAATATTACGTATGTAAGTACAATGAAATGAAAAAAATGAAATATAAGTCATGTTGCCAGGAATAAATTATTGTTTTGGAGTCGATTTAATGGACTGATTTATGACCTCCCTTCACCCTTCATCCGTTCCAAACTGGAACTGAACCTGACGCCCCACATATTCCGTTCGATTGATCTCATTAAAATATAATTTGATCATTTTGAAAGATAAATAAATCCTAGCAACTCGAACAACTTTTATCAAAGTGTTTAAAGGATATTTAATGATAATCACATATTCCAATTAACTATTAAACTCATTTTTAGAAACGCTCATATAAGAAAGTTTTCTTTTTTTAGATAATACGCATTTTATATAATTAACCTAAAAAGGGGTCTTAGATGGGAGCGACGGTAAGATTTTTCTACTCACCCATGCTGTTGATGGAGCGAACGTAGAAGGCGTTGACGACGAACGGATAGGCCCACCTGCACAAGAAGATAATCCACCTTCACGCAACTCACAACACGCACTTCTCTTGTATTTCATGACAAGCAGTAATTCTTACTTCTTTTCTGACACAGGATTCTCTAGGATATCGTGCGGGATCTTCCTCATTTGCCGATATCGACTAATCACGTTGTTAAAAAAGTTTTCTGGATCAACATGCACCTGAAAGGAAATTTCAAAATGTAAGAACGGAAACATAGAAAATTGTATAGCATTGTGTGAGGAAGACTGTAAAAGTGTGTAACACATGTGAGAGGTATTTATACTTTTCATGTAGAGTCTCGTTTTGTTTAGTATCTGAAGTTCAAATTTTTCGTTGCTTTTCTGAATATACTAGATATGCACGATGTAAATGTTGACAAAATACTTAATATATATTTTTAAAGGAGGGAATATTGTACACCTCGGCCACAAAGGGTATTAATTGGAAGGCTTGGAATTATGTTTTTACTTTTAATTCTCCAATAGATAATTAATATTAACAATATTAATATAAAAGTAATTCTTAAATTCTTACATTATTCAATGAAATTAAAAGGGTTAACATTAATATTTTGAGCATTCTATGCACTGAAAAAACTGTTTTATGTTCTTGTGCTGTTTCTGTTAGTTGTAAGTCATGTCATAAATGCAATTTATTTTAAAGGATTCGTAAATATTAATTAGAAATTGTAACGTAAATTTTTCTCCTAAAATATAATAATGTAATGTGAAATGAAATACGTTTGCTCGATCAGGACGATATTAATTTTATTTTGAAAATTTATCAATGAGATTGTCAGTAAACTTTTTTATCTTCAACTTTAAACCACAAAAACACGCACATATATTATCTCGGTAGAGAAATGTTCACAGAAAAAAATATTTCCATCAGGATAAAACTATCAGAATGATCATAAGCTTTTTTAACTCAACAATTGGGAGTATAAGAACATGTCAACATCATTCGGTTATTAGCTTTATCACACCTGGAGTAACTTTATCACAACTGGCGTACTTAAATTTTCACAATCTAAATACAGACGAAATCTGCCGAAAGTGCGTGTGGTAAGACATGGTGCGTGACATTAAAAGCCCTTTGCATAAACATTTTTTTAATCAACGTACTGTATATTCGGTCACGCGAGGGTACTTGTTACAGCACTGCACGCTCGTCAAGTGAAATCTTTCTCAGTGGAGGATGCCTAACCGAGACGATATTTTGGAGACATAAATAAGGAAGTAGATCTTGAAAATGTAATTTTAGCACGTCGGATTTTCTTGGGACGTAGATGTGAATAAGATAATTCCCAATCAAGTTCGATTTTTGGGCGTCCTTTTTAATACGAGTAGTTAAAATGTTGCCGCGTCTCAGCTTTCGTACAGTTAAAAATGACAGTTCTGGACACATTCGCATTCCCTAGTGACTCGACCACTCAACTAGTGGAATCGACAGCTCAATTATCGGATCTGTTCGTGACTCTGTCAACTTTTATTTCGAATAGGGTGTCACCGCGCGCTTTCATTTTGGCGCAACAATTTTGTATCCATCGCTTTTTGGGCTTATCTGCTGCATGCGACAGCTAAGCGTCGTCATGGATTCGATTGATTGATTGGTGTTGCCCGGTGCTCCAACCGTCAAGGTCACTATTCCCGTAAGTGTGGAGCCTGTTTTGTGTCGCGGGAGGTAGCGGGAACCTTCCACCACTGGGTAGCCAGACCCGGCGCCGACCTACCCATCGGGTAGCGGGGATTTTTCCAACCAAGCATCGCCAACCAGCGGCGCACCGCCCCAACAAGAACAAGATATAAGCTCCCGATTTGTCTCCCGACATGTGTGCAAGTAATTGTGTGTACGTGATAAGGGTAGGAAAAGAAAAGGGAGGAAAAGATCCCCTGCGGCCCATATCCCGGTTGTTAGGGTACTACTCCGGTATTCGCCTTCTTGATCGGAGAAAGCTTACGATCAGAACAACCGACCGCTAGGATTGTCCTGAACATTGCGGCTTAATTCGACTTATCTAGCTAGTTTCTAAAATTCTGCCACCGTTGGATGGCAGGACCTCCCAATCAGGTATTGTAGAAACATCCATTGATGCCCTGAGCCACATATGTTAGTCCAAATTTCGAGTGTTGCCCTAGGATAACGAGTACCAGAAACAAAATGGAACTCGAGAAATATCTTGAATTAACGTACAAAAATAGGAAATAACAAGTTTTGTTATTATTTTTGATCAGTATGGATAGCACCAATTGGAATTACTTTATTTATTATAGGAGATATTGATTCAAATTTCGTTCATTCCGCCTTCGTAAGACTATGTCGATTTGCTTCACTCCTCAATTCATTACTACTGCAAATATTATGTTTTAATTTTCAAATGTTTCGCATATGTCGTGATATTTTACATCAATTCACCTGAAAGGAGTTAGAATCGTTTTGTGAATGACTTCATGAATAAATGACGTTAGATAATGCACTTTCAAATTCAATCTAGATTTTTACGAGTAATTATTGCGGGAGGATTTATCAGAATAAGTTAACATATAATTGACAATATTTAAATTTTATATATCCGAAATCGGAAATCGATTTTGGGATAATGGTGATAACTGAAACGTGTATTAAGCTGGACAAGTGAAGCCAATAGCATCGATTAAATGATTAGGTTGAGCAGTGTGGCTGTAGCAATTAGCACATTGACCTGTTTACTGCGTGCGTTGATGAAGTCACACAGATAATTCTGGGAAGTAAACAAGAACTATTTTTAAGATGTTGCACATTTTTCTTTTGGATGTGATTATACTCATGCTAATGACGTAATGTTATGCAAACGGTTTCAATTACGCCACAATATCGTATCCATTGTTAGTAAAAGAGTAACTATCATTTACAATCATTAGGCCGATTGGAGTAATCACAACGCCGATAGGAATTTCTAATTAAAGTAAATGGAAGTGTTTCGAAACTAAAAATATCTGTCGAGGAGACAAAAATTGATAACATGAGGGGAAATATCAGAGAGAAGAACCAGGTGAGTTAAAAGCGCGATCTGAATGGGCTCATGCGGGGCGATGAACACACATCTGGGTCAATTGCATTATTGCCTCGGAATATATTTATGAAGAGATACTTTTTTTAAAGTTATTAAATATAAAAACGTTTGTTGAATTAATCTAGAAAGAAACATTTGAATTTTTTACAAAGACAGGACAAAGGTCTCCCAGTCAATATTCAATGTTTATAGTAATACCGAATTACAAATTTTTTAACTGAATTTTCATAAACACATTAGAGATGTTGATGTGAAATGGATTACTAGAGGAAGCATTAAAGAAGGCCCACCCACGGGAACTTGGAGCAATCAGCAAAGCCTGGAAAGAGAACAGGGTATTTATGCCTTGCAGGAGATCCCGGGTATTGAAAGCAAGGTGGCAGAAGACAAAAGTATTGGGGAAAAGTTAAAAATTGTTGAAAATTGGTAAATTACCTCCTAACCTTCCAACTGGAAAATATGCAGGACGCAGTGAAGGTGGTTTGGGTACGTTGTAGGACAATATCTCGACGAATTGCAAATATTTCTGAAGGATAGCAGCACATATCCACGCAGTGCAAGAAATTTGGACGTGTAAAATGTTTTGGCATCATCTTAAGTGGTGGGGCAGCTGGAATCACCAAATGCGACAGGGAGGCAGAACTAAGCAGAGCACTTTTGCCGGAGCGCCTGTACTTAAAAGGTGTTGCAGGGATTTGCAATGGCAGACACGTGATCACGCAGGACAAGTGATGGAGATAGTGAAGTAGTTGGAAGCTATTCGATTTAGAGGGGGTCGAGATAGCAAGTACCCACGATGCGTAAGGAGCCCCAGACACGGATGGTTTTGCCTGAGGGTTCTAAAAGTGGAAACACATGGGTATCCGACCACTTATAGTGATTACTGGGTAAATAAATAAGAAAATATAACAGGGCAGAGTCTCACTTACTCACAAAGGTTCTCGCCGTAGGGAGTGTTCAGAATTTTAAAGAACAAAATACAAATGAAGGAGGTTTACGAAAGTGTTCATTAAGTGCACGGAGTTCGTTGCTCAGAATGGAGTTACCAGGAAGTCGAATATGAGATCAAGGAGGGGTACTGTTACCCACGCATGTGAACATCAACACAGAAGGTGTTCTAGATGTTTGCAGTGACGGTGAAAACACACACATGCAGGGAAAGACTATGCAGGCACTCATGTATATGTAAATGATCTCAACATTGATACATATTGAAATTTGGGCAGGAGTGGCTGGATCGCTGGCTTTTGCAACAAGCGATGACGCACGGCGACGGGTTCGAGTTGTTTGTAGACATCTGGTAAGTACAGAACGCACCTGCCAAAAGGGTTGGCAATGGTTACAACAATAACGGAGAATTGAGGCTGGAGGTGTAGACCGAGGAAAACCTGCGATCGAATTCCAGGGAAAAAATGAAAAAAAAACGATTTTCAACTCTAAATGAATTAAATATACCTAACTACTAAAAAACTAGTATCACATATGATGAAACCAAATCTTATTTGAGAAAGATGAATACGATTACCCTGGGGTTCGTCATTATCCCCACTGGAATGCAAGTCTTGTGGAGTTTGAAGTTCGAGAAGGATTCGCCGGAATCACAAACGTGAGATAAGAGGCCAAACAGGTTAGGGAACTCATGTTGTGTGTGAAAATCTCTACATAAGACGTATTCATGAGAACCGTAGTAACGGTGAACAGGCAGAAGAAGATTTGGATTTTGGGCACGTGGATATTCTTCCAACGAGAGGGTTTGCTTTCAATCACTAACGCAATTTGAATGGAGTGCAGGGTGCAAGTGAGCCTTGATGCAGGATGTATTCTGTTTCTTCGGAAGCAGTAAGAAACACATAAGTATTAAGACGTTGTGTGTTTGGAAAGGGTTTACCAGAAACTCTTATATGAGATGGAGCCAAGTTCGGCACTTTCGTCCCATGTGAGATCCGCAACACAGGAGGATTTCTAGAGGTGAATACCTAACCATTTCCGGATCACTGATTGATTGATTAGTGTTGCCAGGCGCGTTGACGGATAAGGTCGTTTCCCGTAAGTGTAGTGTGTTTTATCGAGGGAGATGATTTCCCCCTCTTCGAGGCGAGATCGGACGTCAACCACTTCGGCTCACGGGGATTTTCCTGAACCAGGGTTTGTAGTGCATGTAAATGTAAATGAAGGGTGATAATAGGACACGACCTTTCCTTCTCATTCCTTATCTTATCGTATCCCTTCTTACCTAAAATTACACTTAGACGCATTACACTACTATATATGCCGGAAGACAGATCCGAAACGTTTGACTTACCCTTGCTTGGGTGGTGCTTCACTGATGGGAAATACGTGGTTGGGGTAAACCCCGTTAGCTGACAGTAGGTCTCGTCATCCAGTGGGGAAATCACTTACGGGACTAATGACCTTAGTAGTTGACGCGTCCGGAAGCCCTAGTAGTCAATTAATCAATCAATCGAACCGTTCAGGATAATTAGTCTGGAGCCACTCCGGATGGCCGAGATCGCCAAGGCAGTAGTGCCGTAGCGATCTCGGACCAAAGGGTGGCGGGTTGGAGACCAGCCTCGGACGTGGTTGTATTGTGTTGGTCCTTTCACACCAATATCATCATCATACCGTGTCCTAGTCGTAGTTACCATACCGTTACAGGCAACAGTGCTCGCAAATGACCTAGTAGTTGATGCGACCTTACATAACAAAAGAAAGGACGGGCAGAGGCTGAGGGCGGCCACTTACGTCGTGCAGCAGCGCCTCCACGTAGGAGGCGTTCCAGAGGTGCGGCCACGTGAGGAAGTGACCGCGCAGGCGCCGCAGCTTGTGCAGCGCGGCGGCGCGAGTCGCCTCGTCCAGCCACGCGGAGCGCTGCACGCGCGCCTCCAGCGTCTGCTTCAACCGCTCGAACAGCACCGTCACCTGCGCACGCCAGCGCACGCGCCTCGACTCGGCCTCTCTATGGCAACTATCCTTTTCAATACGCAATACTACAGTGTTTAGGATTGCACAAGGATCGTAATAACGTTAACATGTATTTTTAAGGCCAAAACAATCCTTCGTACGCCTTCTTCGGAGGGGAAGAAAAGCAGGCCGTCCCAAGTTGTATATTTACTACATGCAGATTACATACACACTGATGTAGATGTACTGTACAATTTTTAAGCCAAAATGAACCCTTTGAGCTAAATTCAAATAGTCTCTTTCGTCACCCCGAGTAATGCCTTCTTTCTCCGCTAGATGGCTGAGTTCCGCCACGTAAAATAAGGCATTAACTAACAAACTAACGAGCTTCCAGCGCATCGCATATGGCTAATTAGAGCTTTCTCATTTACAAAGTCTCCATATTTATGTTCGGCGTGTCTTAATTCTGAGTGGAACTGGCACCAGAACTGATTTGGGGGAAACGAAGCACAAACATCTGCCGAAAATCTACTGCATAATTTCTTCGTCCACAAATTATAGTACATAAATCGATCGGTAATTCAACCTCGATCCCCCGATGGAAGGGAAAAGTCTTTTAACGTCACCTTAGGCCACCTATGCTTAGCCACCACCACGATATCATCATCATCATCATCGTTAGATGTCACACCTGAGGGCCAGAATTCGACCAACACATACCAATCTCATATTAGATGATGACCAATGATCTCATTTAATAAATAGTAGCAACAAACACGTTGTTAAGGAATTACTTCTTGCAATATTATTTTAAATTCTCAACTGAAGATTAATATTTTATATTTAATAGCATTTAAACTTTTACTGTCGATCTGGAAGTAATTTAAATGTCATACTTCAGCTTGATAACTACAAACGTTTTCCATTAATAGTGCGTGTGTACATATCTTTATATAAAGAAATTTTCAGAAGTAGCAACAACATCGTCACTTATTCATTGTTTCGATATTTAAATATAAGGTAATATTTTCTATCATTAATATAAAGCAAAATCATTCAATATTCGTCAAAACGACGTATACAGAATGAAATATTTTCTATTCACTTCACGCCTTCCTTCAGATATATCAAATGTTAATATTGAGAAACTAATGCAATGTCTTTTAATTGGATCAAGAATGTATAGTAAGCTTCAGGGCTGTAATGACAAGCACCGCAGTCATAAACCAATGTTTGAGATTTAAAATGTAAAAGCTACTTATTTATGCAAGAATACAATCATTCAAAGGCAAGAACACTTCAGTCTTCTTTGCGCCATCGGATCTGTAACAATTGAATTTTTTATTAAGGCCCTATTCAGCGCTATTTATTAGTCGCCTTGAACGATAACATGAAGTTATGATTGGGAATTGCAATTTTATGTGTGTAAATAACAGCATCACAGGAAAAATGTACATAATAATGACTCTGTTTCCTGTAACACATTTTCAATATTGTAAAAAATAAGAAAGTCTTCACAACGTGTCATAGAATAGTGCGCTGTCACCAAATATAGTTGTGACATTCCATGTTCTCTTAACGTTTCGGCGAGGAGTAGAATAAAAATGATTAAATAGACTATCAAGGCTTCAACCAACGTTTACGGTATCGGTTGATACGAGATTAGTCTGACCACACGATCATTTTTTCACAGTGACACTTCGGCGAATGTATCCCCAACAGTTTCTTTCGTTTCATCTGTCAGTTATTCCCTAATATTACATTCAGAGAGCTTTAATCAACTCCGAATAACTTGCTCTAACGGGAACTGAACCCGAAACTCAACTAATGAAGATATTGTGGCCAGATATATTACGTGTAATGTTTCTCAGCGTTGATAGCTAATTGCTTCACCCACTTTCGGGAAGAATTTCTTGTATCGTTGTCTGTTGTCTGAAAATGTTTCTTTTTTCCGTTTCAATTTCTCCTCGCAAGCAACAAAATGTCCGTTTTAAGGGGAAAAATACCTCATCTGACAACACGGTATGGAATGTTAAATACAAATATTTAATCATTCAATTATCCCGCTGTACATATACAAATTAGAAATACTTGGATTTATCTATTTTATGCAGAATCACCATTTTCCTTCTGCAAGTTCACAACTTGTCCTGTTCACGTCTGGTGGGAATATCTCTCTCTTAGGCACATTTAAAGCGAAGGTTCGCGCGATTTTGAAGAGGAAATTATTCAATATTTTATGAAAAAGACAGCTCGAATTTCTGCCTAACCTTAGACTATCGGTTCATTATTGTTGACACAGAAACGCTTCAGTGAGCAAAATAAATTCGTTCCGGGTTGACTTGTCACTGATCGTCATTAACTCACTCATTTCGCCTCTAAATGGACCCAACACCCTTCAAACGCGTTCGTGTCCATTCCTATTATCCCGCATTGCCTGCGTTATGAATATTCCCAACTCTCATGAATAAAACAGACTTCATAACTGATGCGAGTTCGTGATTGTAAACGCCCGAAAACTCCGTTGAAAATGTATTCGCGTTGAAAACACACGGGCTAAGTTCACCTTTAAATCATTCAGGAGGACACGGTAGGTTACAACCTTAAAAAAGCCTGCTTGCAAAAAACCCGCGAATTGTACGATCTAATAAAAGCGCCAGATAGAACAGTTTTGCACGGAGCCGCTTTTGTACGCGCAGCGGAGGGGACTTCGCACGGCAAAGGGGATGGGGGGGGGAAGAGGGTGGGGAGCACGGTGGAGGGGGAGAGGATGAGAGGGGGAGGTAGTATGGAGAGAGATGGAAATGTGAGATGTGGAGCTGCGGGGGAGAGGGAGGACGGCAAAAGGGAGAAGAGGATGGTAAGGAAGAGTGAGTTAACACATGGGATGAGAGTAGGGTGGGTTACGGAAGCGCATAGATAGGGAGGGAGAGATAGGATATGAAGACGGGGAGGAGAAAGGGGTGGTGAGAGGAATGGAGGGAGTGGAGAAGTAGAGCGGAGCGCGTGATGAGGTTTAGGGGCGCGGAAGGTGATAGGGGAAGTTGGTAGGAGTTGCTTTGCGTGCGGAGCGTGTTTTCCTGGCTGGCTATTCCGGGGCCAAGGTGAAGGGAGGAGGAGGAAGGAAAAATATCGCGCCTGTGCGGCGTGGCCAGGACAAGGCTGAAAGCACGGAGCGGAGGGGGAGGTGTGACAGAAGGGACAAAGGACTCCGGGAAACAAAGCGTTGACGCGCAGTCGCAAGGCGCTGCCACTGCGTCGAGAAGGTGGAGCACCTGAAGTACAAGACTGCTCAGGGTAGCCCGGTGGAGAAATTCTGTTCAGGAAGAGACTGGGTTATGAGTTAAAGACGGTAGACACCAATAACGCGTTTCATATTTACTCTCTAATGCCGACTCTTTAAAGGCGCAATTAAACGTGTGGGAAACGTGACAGTATTTTATAAGGGCTTCCTCATCCAGAGTTTATCAAAAGCGCGAAGGCGTCTGAAGACGTCCACTTTTCCTCATCCGAATGTTTTACACCCCACATCATGTAACGCTACACCTTTCATCGTCACTAGCTTAACAATAGCAAATTTCATGATATAATAATTCCATGCAATAACAACGTGGGAGGGGGTGCATTGACAACTCACTGTACGTTTGAAGACATTTATCGCCTTTGTGTTCCAAAGATACTCTATTACCTACAATCATCGATATCAAAGTACGATATCGATTTCATACTTTATGTGTAGAACATTTCCGTTAGTTAACACAATCATTGTACTTTGGTGAGCAACATGAAATGTCAGTTAAAAATATTTGCTCTAGAACGAGTCAATCGTAATTATGTAAAAGTAAAAATATCACTAGGGAACAAACAGCTATTTTTTTCATTCCTCCATGATTAAGGAATGTGGTTTTAACGAACACGATCACGCTGATCCTGCAGGATTCAAAAGATTTGAACATTTTTAGTATTTTCAATAAAGAAAATCCTTTGCTTATTTCTGCAATGCCACTTTGTTATATTATTAATGATAATGTTATATTATAAAAGTTAATGAGCATGCTTCATGTGAGGTAAGAACAAGTTTAAAATGGAATACGCATATTCGTGTAATAATATTGGAAGATCATGGTAGGAGAAATTCCTACTTCATTGCTCACAAATTCTTTTGCGTCTTGTCACTCTTTATTCCTCTTTACTCTTTCTGACAAGAAACCAGAAATATATGAAGTTTTGCAATTTCATATATTTTGTATTCCTTCTGGAGTTTGGGTGTAAATCATTCACAGACATAACCGAAGTTATCTGGTTGATTCGCTCACTTTCAATATAAAAATATGATTTGCATTTTATTCGACAGTTCATGTGACCAATTTCATCTTATAATACCCACAGAAGAGTAATTATTGTATTTGAAGCAATAGCAAACCAGACACGAACTTCACGCAGTCTGCGGATTCAATTTTGAGTGACAACGACTGAATCAGAATCTGCCACCGCCACAGTTGGATACTTGAATACTTTCGATAAGGTAAGGGACTACAATAACTCCTTTCCTAAAAGAACCAGAAGCCTAGTTTTGTTGATATCTCAAGAAAGTGGAGTAGATGAACGGAAAAATGTTTAACTTGTAAATAGATTTTATGCGTATTACATAAATCATATAGGTGCAAATTAAATGTATTTGCATTAACAGCAAAATATGGAATGATATGGTATAAAGATACTCTACATTTAAAAACTGTGACATGATATAAAATTTTTATTGTGATAATTGTAATCTACGCAAAAAGTTGAGTACGTTGCACACTCTACCTGTCTGGAGGTTAAAATCGTGTTCCCTAGTGTATTTCACGTGGGTAGGCAGCAGAGCAGTCCTTCTTATGGCCTCAGCCTTGTCAGAAATAAAGGCGTTTTTATTATTATTATTATTATTACTATTATTATTATTATTATTATTGGCATTATTCTAAGCAATAATATATATTAACATGTTAGTAGAATGTTTTACCTGATATATTTTTCCAAACACCCACTCAAATAAAAGACGATTTTACTAGCATGGAGTCACAAATATTCCTCCTCTCATCTCATATTTAGTAATTGAGTTGGATGTCTCATCCAGTTGAAGTTTCGAGCGGTTACAGAAACAACAAAGGAACTGTAGACGGCCGCCGCAAACTGAGTTCCTGTCCGTCCGCGGCTCGATGTAACCGCAGAACAAACGTTGACTCTTCCAATTAACATGCAAACGCAGCTCCGGCCGCGTGCGGAGTGAGCGTCCCAAACCGACCCTGCCTTCCGGCCGCAGAAAGGAACCTCCGTAAGGTCATGGCTTTCGCACGCAAGTAAATGATTACCAGTATCAGTGAAAAAGTAATTTTGCTCAAGTTATTTGTATGCTTTGCTGATGTTTTTTTGTACGTATAATTTCTATTGACAACATCCTTTTCCTATAAAGCTACAAGACGCACACAAAATACATAGCTAAATAAGAAAACAATGATCACGTTTCTGGTACAGTATATATATATTTCGTTAAAAAGCATTATTTTGTTAAAAATTACAATTACAAATTTACCCGTGTATTTGATTCTTCCGTTCTTTTACATGTTTCATTGAACGTAACTCAAAAACGGAACACAGTACGCCCTTCAAACTCAGTTTTCTAGTTATATTTCCATAGCTAAACCTAACAAAATGTGACCTCTATGTACCTTGTCTTACATTTTTGAGGGGTGTACCGAATTTCTCATCCATGGGACAGGTTGTCATATAAACAGATCATATCAATATGTACAATCTTTAATGTAGTATAAAATTGACTATTTAGTATTGTGGGTGATTTAGTCGGCATCAATATATTCAGGCTGGCTTCAAAATAACTTTTTCTCTCACTACTAACCGGTTACACGAGACACATTCAGTAACGCTTTAAGCACCTGCCTAGAGTGAAGTAGCTGATGAGCTTTCGTTTGTTTGACTAATTTTATTCTACCGTTTACTTGTTTTGGAATGTTACTGTTACTCCCGCCCATTGAGAGGCCATTCCCAATAATTCCATGTTTTTTATATTAATGTTTTGTGCTCGAAAGTGAATGAAAAATTCCCATAATTACAATATTGTATTAGTTAAAAAGTGAAATAGTAGTGGAAGGTATTCTAGTTAGTTAAACTGTTCGAACCAAAGGAACGCTGTTCATACTAACTTCATCGAGCTATCTCGCGCCCGAGATGACACCGGTGCTGTGGTATTTCCTACGGCTTTCTTCGAGTTTCACACATGGGGGGGGGGTTAACGTATGGGCGTAGGGCCTGCCCCTACAGTTAGTCCCCTCATTTAGCAAACTGACGATTCATCCTTTCAGATGAATCTGGGCGCTTAGGCGTCCAGGCAGAACTGTCTTTGGTTTTTATTCTTTTTAACTTCGTTTGAGTTAGACATTTTTTACGCTTGTACTAGAATACTGGAGGTTTAACCTGCTCAGGGCTTATAGAATACATATTAATTTTAATTAATCAAAATGTCCCTGGCAAATTAAATTTTGTTGCGCACGGGTTTAATTTTAAATGACAATAAGCAAGTTTTAAAACATCGATGTAACAAACATTGATGGTATTTTTAGGCGATATATTTCTAACATCGCTGGTTTAATTTTAGTTGATGTTTTGTTGTCGATTTATCACCAGTTCTTCGTTACGCTATGGTTAGAGTGACGTAAATACACACACGAAATGTTTGAAGACAGACAAATGAGATACCTTTTTACTTTCTTTCACTCTAATAAGATTTATAAGTTTGTAGATACGACAATCCCTGACTTCTATACTAACATACTACATACAGACCCCACAGCGTATAAGCGACTGACAGTTCAATGCGCTGTTGCCACACATTTCTATGCACATGGCTCACCTACATCGCAGATAAATTCAAATTGAAAACATTAACACTTACTGACAGGCTATGGCACGTTTTGATATCATGTTCATAACTTGTCGCCTCCGCGACGAGGCGCGAGTCAGCTGATCGTCAACGCGGAACGCTGGCTGTGAGAAACTAAACAAATCCCCGCAAGCTGATTGCTCCAGAGAGGTCACCTGACGCATCACAGCACGTGGCAAGGGAACTGTCAGAGTGGCTTGTACGCTGCCGGCCGCGCAGCGCTGTTTGTGTCCTCGTGAGGAGCGGCCCACCTGCTCGCGAAGGGCGTCGATCTCGTGCGGCGCGAACTGGCGCAGGTAGAGCGCGGAGGCGGCGCGCGCGAATAGCGAGACGGTGACGCGCGCGCAGAAGCCGGGCCAGTAGCGCCCGCCCGCGCCGCCCGCGCCCGCGCCCGCGCCCACGCCCACGCCCACGCCGCCCCCGTCGCCCCCGCCGTCGCCCCCGCCGCCGCCCGCGTCGCTCGCCAGCGCCGTTGCGTCCACCAGCTCCCACAGCGAGTCCCGCGCGAACAGCAGCAGCAGCGCGTTGTGCACCACCCTGCCGGGCACGCCACACGAACACAAGTAAGCGCAGGTGCGGAGAAAGTAAAGTATGTGTCTTCACTGAATGCCAGTAAACAAGTCGTCGATAAAGGACGGTTGAGTCAAGTAGGCGTCAGTAAAAAAGACTTCAGTATAGTAGGTGTCAGTAAAGTAAATGACAGTATAGTAGCTTCCAGTAAACTAGGTGATTGTAAAGTAGATGACAGTGAAGTAGGAGACAGTACAGCAGGTGCCAAAAAAGTACCTGTAAGTAATCACGTCCTACAGCCCAATTTACAATATTGTATTATTCTACTATTCTACAGAAGTACAGAATATGAAAAAACATAACATTCATCCCTGGAGTACTTATTGAATAAATTTAATCTAAATATTTTCTCATCAACGTAGAGAAAAAAGCCACCTGAAAAAGGCCAGATTTTCTGTGACACAATATATTTAGTATATTTTTTTCAGATATCTCTAAATTAGTTTAATTCCTACTTATTAATTCAAATTTTTGAAACTAATTTCATTTCATTCCCTAGATTAGGTTGTAAGAATGTTACAACCGCAGTGTTCTCTTTCTCGGTCGTAAATCAGTATGCTCAGACATAAATCTACATTAATCGCCATAAATATCAATAATTGCTCGTCTAATGAAAAATTTACTCGTCTACATTCATGATGGTCACCGAAACTCGTGAATCTACATGGTCGTTAAAGAAAGAAATCGAACAGTTAAACGGAGTTCCCCTTTTTATAGGTCGTTTCATCTCTCTCGCGCTGCCGAGCCATTTTTCTCTTTCTCAGTCGCCGAGCTACGGCGCTCTCATTGCACGAACTTCTTTCGTAATGGGATTCCCTCTCCCCAGGAAACTTTCGAAAACCTTTCTCAATTGCTGGCAGGCCAGCCAACTTTCATCAGAAGATAGCCCGTGTTCCATTAGTCTTTATCTTTACCAATCTACTTCTCAGAGGGCGATTCGAACTGCAGAACGTGCCGTTATCTTATGATCTTGCCGCAGTATATTTTGTTTTATTACTTGTGGTTGCTAATTTCCTCATAAAGATCTATCCGTCCTTCATGGTTAATATTACCCGATAGAAGCAAAAATATGCAACACCGTATATCCGACACAATCGTTAGACTACACTGTTGGTTTCTTTACAACAACGCAGCTTTCTGAAATACGTTCCTGTGTACAAACACTTTAACCAAGAGTTGTGCCTGAGCTCGCTTCTGTTACTGAGTTCGTCCGAACATTGGCAGACTAACTTGTTTGAAAGTTCTAACATTGACAAGCTTAACTCGCACATTGCTAGTACAATGAGGTCGGGAGAATACATAGCACTGCAATTCGATTTCGAAGCAAGGAATGTAAGTTAGTTACTGGTTTGGAGTTCCAAACTTCGAGTTGTCTATCATCACAATTCCAATTTCCATTAGTTCGACCATACTCGCGCGTAATCACTATTTGTGTGTGTGTGTGTGTGTGTGTGTGGACTATAATTCTCGCAATCACACTCGTCAATGTGATGCCGCTTCAATAATCCCATAAAAATCTGTTATTGAAATTTGTCCTCCTCATGCGATGTAGATAATTATAATACAACGTGAAGTGATGACACGTATCCCATTTTTCCTCGCGCAGTATAATTTAGTCTCAAAATTCTCAATTAACAGCAATGTTTGCATTAATATGAAACTATCATCACAAAAGGCATTGATGCATAATCCGTAGGGAATAAGGAAAAAACCTAAATAATGAAAAAGAAACTGGTTAAGATTTAAATGAAGGAAGTAGAAGCTGTGGTAAAGCAATTTGACGTAGTAGTACGTTAGAATTAGCAACGAGTGTATAAGTGAATATAATTTGTAAATTAGTATACCGAGGATATTTGAAAGAAGATATCTGAAATTTAAAAGGAATAAGAAACGGATGCATTATAAAACATAGGTCTTAAACCTTTTGGGTGCGTTTCTCAACGAACCTAACCCTACAACCAAAAATTCATAGTTAACAGATTTTCGGATGCAGGAGTTCTTCCATTGTTTATAGTTATAATAACAACAAGTGTTTTGCTTTGGTTAATGAAATTTATAAGAATGCAGTGTGTTAAATATTGATGTAAAAGCAAAATATCTAATCATCATATAATAAAAATCGCACTTTTTTGAAGCATTTCACCCTTGATTTTTGAATACTCCATTTTAAGGTGACTGTCGTACCACATTTTTTTCAGAAGAGAAACGAGGCTGAAAAGGAAGACAATACATAGGATGCCTGGGTACATAATATACCTTTTGAACACAATGGATCTTAAAAAGGGTACGACAGTGTGTACAACTGCCCCTACAATCCATTTAATGTTCTCTCACTTGAAAATTTTCTAACAATGCTTTCACTTTTAATACTCGAGTAGTCATGTTTTGACCTGTCGAAAATGCTTTTGAAGAATTTTTTCTTTTACTTATTTTAATTTAGTGACAGCTTTTTCTATTGATTTTCAAAATCTATCATTGCAGATAAATCATCAATTTTCAAATCTTCAGCATCGTACGCAATAATTTAATTAGAATGTAACATATACTGTCCTTCACAATATTTTTCGATAATCACAACAGAAAATGATACAAATTTTACGTGTTTCTATTTGATATACTATCAGCCAAATCTGTTATTGGTCTATTGTCTCATTCCTCTGAGGATTGCAGGGTTAAAATGTTTAGATGAAGGAACGATTTGGATATTTACAAGCTCTTCAAATGTGAGTTTTACCTTGTGTTCGTACCTTGAGGAATCATAGGGAGGAAATCGGATACCATTAAATATTTACATACCCTTGAATAATGGATTTTTCAAAGATAATGCTGTGAAGAATCTCCATGAGAATATCCGATATCTGCCTTACACTTCTACTTTCCATTTCTTTCATCATCCTCAGAGGAAGTTGTTACATACATATATCGTCATTTAATGTATAGAAACGCATGAATAATAAACATTATTATGTATTTTTGTGTTTTTTGAATGTTAATTAATCTGGTACAAAATATTCGGTTTTTGCTCGTCCACTTTCCTCCCCTCAGCCCCGAATTCCCTCCCATTCGCGCGCCCTACTGCTCGGTAATTAGAGTGGACACAATGGAACGCGGCGCCACGAAAAACGAGACACTTTTACTTTCGTTGAGCAACTTCCTTTGACAAACGACTTCCACGACGTCGCTAATAAGCGCCCTCCATCGACAAAGGGCTCATTCGAAAGTCGGCGGGGGGAGGGCGAGTGCGGCAAGGCGGCCGTCTTCACACCCGTCCCTCCGAGGAGATCGAAAGTTGAGCGCGTCCGCGGGGAGCGTAGTTTCAAAGCAAAGTTTGAAGAAACGGAGACGGAAGTGGCACAAAGGCGGAAGAATTGAGGATTTCCACCATTTGATTACTGGGGTTAAATATGAGCGTGACGGATGGGGAATGCGGCGCGGAAATGTTTGAGAAGCTAATGAGAATTTTCAGCTTCAATCCGAAAGTTTCATTCAGAGCTTACGTCAAAGAAATGTTTGTAGTAACAAAGGCCAGAAATACCAAAATGCATTACTACTCTATTTCTGCTGGTTTAAAAATAATGTACAATAACTCCTGATAGATGAATTAAATAATACACAGTATCAACTACTTCAAGTATCAAGTCAATGCAAAAGAAGGTCGTTTAATTCACAAGAAAGTGTTTATTAATTTTATCATCCTTTATTTTTAGTTTTATTTTAAATTATAAATTTCTACTATAAATTATTTTTTATATGCATTGCAGAAATCTAACAAGTCAAATGTATTTTATGCATCGACTCGCACGTGTAAGAACTATAAATTACGTCAAAATATATCGAGTGAGTTGTGAATTTCCTTGAGTAGAATTAAGCTAATGAGAGTAGGGTGAATATAAAATAACGTTTTTGTATTTTTTAAAGCCTGCGAAAAATTTTACATATTCACTGTGGTTTTCATTTTCTGCTGAATGAAAAAATACCGTAAGATAAACTTCAGTTCGAAACAATTTTTCCTAAATAGAAAACATAAATACAATGTCATCTGATTTGCTTCTATTCCTTTCATAAAACAAAAATAGAAAAGAAAATCGATTGAAATCTAGAACTAGTGGTGTTAAAACAGAATGTACTTTCTCACCCGCATTCTCACGCAAAATCACGCGAAAAGTATTCCAATTTTCGAAAAATTGTACATGCCCTTATTTCCAAAGTATTTTTAATAAACAGATTTCATTAACGAAAAGATCTCTATCTTCATATCTGTAGTTGTAGGAAGAGGCCAAAAAAATTGAACTTTCGCAATTTTCAAAAAATTAGGATTTTCAATGAACATGAAACCTAGACCACTCTCTTAAACGTCCTTCACGCTATCCAACAACAAAATTTAATTAAAATCGATGGAGCCATTTTTTGAAAATTTTGGTAATGTGCCAGGGGTTTCGTGTAAATTTCCTCTCAAAATTAAAATATCGATTTCAAATTCAAGAGGCCACGACATAAATCAGTTCGATTGAGGAATATACATTTTGCATAAAATTAACTGTACAGTTTAGCCGCTAGTGTTATTCACAGACGGACAGACAGATAGACGGACGGAAGGACGGACGGACGGACGGAGGGACGCTCAGACAGGCGTTTTGCCGTCAATGGATTTTTCGTTATCAAGGACCCACAAACCAGAGACTCAGGCTACACCACGACTTAAAGAACTTTTTCTCTAAATTTAGCAACTGAATTTATCCACTTTTTCGTTACCACGGCCTGACAATTAGTTTCAATGCCGTAAATTCATCGTTTTTTTCGCAGCGTTAACAATCTCTCTCCCCGTTGCGAGAAAGAAAAAAATCAATCATTTTTAACATTTATGTTTATTTTCTGCAATGTTAATTCTTGAAATTCTTTAGTTTATTAAGTAGAATCATATTGTGTCAGAAAATATCATAAAGAGTGTGAAATTAGAAAAAAATTAGTAAACTCGTCAACTCGAACATGTACCATTTAATCTAACCCCGTTTCCCGGCTGTTTTTAGAGAGCAAACTGAATTCAAGACCAGTTGCTTTGGAGAAGATTGGCCATTATATTTTGTAAGGTCGGTATTTCCGTTACAATTTACGCAATAATGATATTCATTCAGAATTATTAGTACTCTCAGCAGATCACACGTAGCATATTACTTATTTACCCATTGCCGCCCCACTGATATACTGTATTCACTATATTTAGATATGACATGAGTTATTACAGTATCTGCTGGCGTTAACAATGGCTTGAACGACGCAATATATCTATCAAGGAGGAACTTATTTCTATTTGCTTTTTCTGAATGCTATTAATTTAATAACCATTTAAACGTTTGCTAAATCAGTAAAACATTATAATCTACTTACGTTGAAATACTGAGTCAATGGAAAAAAATGCGTCGAGTAAAGATGGTAGAAAAATCCCGTTTTGCAATATTTTTATCTCGTCTTTCGGTTTTTTAAGCTTAAGTGTGTTCAGATAATTTTAAACACGCCGGGAGCGAAACAGTTTATCTCGCTGGTTTTCCGGATTTCGAAAATTCTTTTGCCGCGCTCGTGCTGCAAACTCGAGTCGTGCGTGAGTCTTTTGTTTTGCGCACTTTTTATGTTCCTTACGATTTTCTCTGAGATACGCACCCCCACCACACCTTTTCGAATTCCCCCCCCCCCATCCCCAATAAACTTGCTCCATGCCGGAGACGCTGGTCGGAGGGGGGCGGAGGCTGCTCAATTCACCTTCGCTGGAAGTGCAGCAGCATGGACTGCAGGCGGCGCATGTAGTCGGGCGCTCGCACGTAGAAGACGTCGTCGTCGGTGAAGTTGCGCGAGAAGACCTCCTCGAGCAGCGGCTGCCACTGCACCTGCGCAGCCACATTCACGCTTCAGACACATTCACAGTGAGGTAGGCGTAAACATGGAATGCTTTCGATTTCTTACTCTCATCGTATTTGAAATGAAAGAATGAGTAATCAGTACTGCTCAACACTCGATATTTAGATAACGTTTTACATGTTTTCCTTTTCATAACTTTACACTGAATTGTTTGCTTGTCTATAATATTAAAGAGTTCTCTTTCGACTACAGTTGAAAATACTTCACTTCAAAATAATTTAATAACTGTCCAAATTGGAGCTTTATTTTTGAACTCGGTATATGCAAAACGGACATTTCATAATAGATCGATTAAAGATCGCTTTTAATAAACGACATGGGGGAAAAACAAACTACATGCAATGTTAGACTGTTTGAATCTGAACTATGGCTTAAGTATATTTCTTTTACAAATCACATTAAATTTGGTATTTGAGAGTTTTTCGAAGTAATCATATTAGCTGAGTGTTAGGGTACCACAAGGGGCAGTTTAAGAAGCATTGAAAATTAGCAAATAGTGAATAATTTATTTACCTGAGAAAAGTCCAAAAAATAATGAATAATTCATGATTGTGGCAAGCACAAGATGCATACGATTATAATTGTGGAAACAAGACATAACTACTCTCTTGTCAACAGTGCCCAAAATAAAAACGTAATCTGGCGATAAGTAGAAAAATATATTTTGTTTATATTTAAATATTTTCTATATTAATTCTTTATTAAATGGAGTGCACTGGTTGGTCACACACTGTTTGTTTCTATGGAGACTTCTCCAACTGAGGAGGGTGAGCCTGGTTCTCTCCTGTCAAAGTGTCTGAGGGCCATTTCTCGATTCAAGCAATATAACACACTCGTAACGCGACTAGCTCTTAAATTTACTCATATTGCACCCCCGAAATATGTGGAGTGGTAAAGAGAATGACGTCACCTTTTACTTCTAGACTTCTGTCGATCTTGGTTACTGGTTTTCATATAAGTTATGAATACATATTCTCGTCATTGGAACAGTTTGTTTACTGTTTAAGCAAATAAAAAATAAATATTTCAGTTTTTTAGAACCTAAAAGTACGAGCCGAGTTAATGATCAAGAACGAAAGTAATGAACCTACATCTAACGGTTACGGCTCGATCCTTTGGGTAGTGTGCTCGTGAATATCTCAGAATGATTTAACGTTTTAATAATTTAACAAAACGCGAAAGTGAATCAGCTCTTGAATTAACTTCTACTTCGGCGGAATAAACCAGTTATCTCGCTGTTTATGAGTCCGTTCGCATAATTCCCTGAAACCTCTTTACTTACGCATACACGCGAGCCACGCGCTAGATTGGCGAATGGAATTGTGGCACAATGAGCCTAACGCGAGGCACCTAAGGAGCCACTTAAACCTTTTGAAATGCTTTCCTTATACTAAGCGTTCGCTTTCTGTTCTTGGTCGCAGAGAAAAACTCGGTTGATTATTCAGTTCCTTTTAGATAGAAGTATCAATTCAAATTTTATGCGTAGCCTAAATTCTACGTTCTATGCAGAGGAATATAATTGGACGTTTCTTTTTGTTTTGAACTTTCCGCCCATATTATATAAATTAGAGTTCTATGAGTTGGTAAATTGTTGATGAATTTTTGCTCGTTCTATTTTAAATCTAGATTATCTACAAGAAAGATTAATCCATTCAAATCTTTTCTGTTAATGAATAATTAGAGCAGTAAATATTCTTTATGAATGAATACTTACAAAGAAGATATATTTATTACTCCCAATAACTTTATCCTATAGTATTTTTTAACTTTATCCTATCCTACGTCTTATTATAAGTATCCACCAGGAAAGACTTTCGGTCTTTCTTCTATTCACAGTGTGAATTGGATTTTTTCTAGGAGAACGCTCAAGAATAAACTACTCATTTTTATAAACAATTTATATGTGACTTTTTTAAAGACTGGATTGTTTTAGAATAGGTTTCATTCATCACAAAAATCTCCATCTTCAATATTGAAGCTGTAGGATGTTAATTTTTTGCTATTTTTGAAAATATATAGGGTTCGTGGAAAATGGGACCAGTCAATATTTTACCGTCCTTTACTCTTTCTCAGGAAAAGATTTAAAGAAAAAATTGGGGTCGTTTTCATAAAATACTTGTTTTAAAATTGTCAAGATTTTACGCAAAATTACGATAAAATTTCTCACATTTTGGATAAATTTTACATGAACCTTTATATATATATATATATATATATATATTATATTATATATATATATATATATTATATATGGACTGAAAGACTCACATATATTTGAAAAGACACTTAACTTGAGAGCATATTGCATTAGGAAAAATTTTAAGAACATAATTTTGAAATGTTGAGCAAATTTCGTGCCTATCAATAACCTAAGGCGTAATTCAGAACCTGAGCACTACAACGAAGAAGAGGGGATGCTCAAAAGGCGAGTAAGAAAAGCGTATAGTAAACATAACATAAATTCGAAACCAATATAATATTTTCTACAATTATATACGGATTTACTAGCATTAAAGTTATACATCCAAGAAAATTATCTTAAATCAATTCTAAATGATAGATTGAACTGTTGGCAAATTTTTTTACAAGTACATGGGATGTAAGAAAGAACACAGAACGTATTCCGGCGATCTGCCGAGCAAAAGATTCTTTGATTAATGTTAATTGTTATTTAATGTTAATTAGTGACACGGAGTGGGATGAACTGTTAGGTATAAATCAAAGGAAAATAAAATACAAATTATTAATTTAGAGGTAATTCCAGAGTGGGAGTAGGTAAGGCACAGGTGTAATAAAGAGATCTCATTTTTGAAAATATTAGTAGTTCTCGCGAGTTTTTTGTTAACTATGAATACTATTAGAATATAAGAATTTCTCAAATAGAGGCGCCTATTTTTTCTTCAAACGTTGTATAAGGATACTGGTAAGTGTACTAACGTAAACAGCATTTTGATATATATTTTTAAATTTAAAAAATACTCACATGTATTTTTGTGAAATATCCCTCCGATTGTTAATATTTACATGATGTGAATTTTTATACATTATGGCATTTGTGAGTATAAGTGTTCTGAATGATGCGTAATGAAGTTTCTAAAAGTTCAAACGTTTGCGATCAGAATGACCTCAAATTTTCACTTTTTCAGGAACGTTTAAACGACATTTTCACAAAAATCGCTTCTCCACATTTCTCAATGAAAATGCATATAGTTCATTTCAGTTCTACTATTAGGACACAGAATCATTGAGAAAATGTGAAATAATTTTTTTAGGCGCCCACCGGTAGCAGCTGGAAAGAGGGGAGCAAACCTAAAAGCCCATCTAAACTGAAAAGTTTAGGAAACTAACTAGGATCAGAACGTCTGTGCCATTTTATAGCACCACTGGTTATCATGAAATTAGTACCGATAGCCAATGTAATTGGCCCATAATGGCTCTTAATTCCTTGATTTAAATATTTCATAGTGTGGAAATTATAAATTTGACACTTGAACATTAATAATGATACTTGTGTTTCTGATTGACAAATTAACACTTTTCCAATAGACGAATTTAAAGTTTATAGGGAGACCTAAGGCATTATATCGAATTTCAAGTAGTAATTAGTAAAAGGCAGGATTTTCTTCTTTAGAAGTCTGGAAATCAGACCAACAATAAGGAAGATAGAAAGCGGAAAATCTCAGAATAGACTGTTCGTCAGTAATACGAATGTTTTGAAATACAAATTATTCTTGAGACACATTAGACCGCCGTCTCCTGTCAACGTGTAATTTACAAATTCTTATCTCACAAATGCAATCCACTTAAATACATCAAAATTGCTAAATATTTGAATAAATATTGGAGACGAAAGTAGCTTACGTGTAAGATCTTCTTCCAGCAAAGTTTCCAGAACACTTTCGTAACTCTTGAGACAAGGAGTGGAGCAGCGATTCTCAGCATTGAAGAGTGTCAACACAGTTGAAACAAAGCGCGGGGGATCCACGAATGGGGCCGTCCCGGCCCTGACCCCGTCCCCGGTCCC